ATCAAACCAATAGTACATGTCATCCCCAGGATTCCCACTAAAGAACTCCGGCCGAATGTGAAGATTGGCATTAAGAGCAGGAGGAGTTGTACCATGTGCCGTGAATGCCGCCATCAACTGAGTTTGGTTGTTCAATTGCAAGCGCATAGCATCAAGCAATTGTACCAACTGTTACTCCAAAGTCAAAGGAGGAGATTGCTAATCTACCATGAAGATAAATGAAAAAGAAAGAGCAAAAAAAGAGAAATGACAAAAAGCTAGAAGGAAATGGTAGATCTAGACAATGCAAAAAGCTAGATCTAAACCAAAATCCTGAAAGGAAAAAACAAAAGAAAAGAAATGGAAAAAGCTAGATCTAAATCACAATTCCAAATTCAAACACTCCTCAGGGACAATCAAAGGCGCCCCTCATTTTCACCAATGTGAGTGCTTGAAATATGGAAAGGGAATACAAAAAATGTGCATATGAATTAGCCCAAAAACCCTAGTTTATATATAGAAGCAAGTGGTCCGGATTGAAACCAATCTGACGGCAAAATCCCACTATGCTAATATTAGTATACAGCATCGTAGCCGTACACTTAGCCCTCACAATATAAAATTTAATTTTTAGATTTTTAAGAACTTTGAAATCCCTTGATGCTAAATTATAATAGAAATAAATATTTATTAAAATTAACTATTATTATGATTTTTGCTGCATATTTTATACTACAATACTATAAGTAGTGCTATTCATATTAATTATTATTTAAATCCAATTTATTAGTCAGAATTTTATAATTATAAAACATTTTAAGAATTTTATAAATTTTAAATATGTTTATAAGATTAATCTAAATGAGATGGTAAAATATCTAAGTATATTCTAGCTATATTCACTACCACAAAGACATGTCATTCATATGACAAAACCTGTCGGGATATCCAAAACGACAGAGGACAACACTTTGATGTCGCCTATGAATGTCAGAATGAATTGGATCGGCATAGTGCATGGCAAAAGGAGGGAGATTTGTTGGCCCGTCATTTGGTACAAATTGGAGAAATGATAGAGTCCGTGGGAATAACCCAACAAGCCTCAAGATTGACCCCTGGGGGACCTAATGAGAATTTGGAGGCCTGGTAGTTTGGGTGCCAGCACCCCCATCTTTTGCAGATCCTGGTCATTGCCCCAGGCATGAATGACCAAACCTGCACTCAAGAACAGTATTGCTTTGAAGCAGGCGTGATTCATTAAAGGTTTGTTTAAGTAAACCAAAAATTGATAGATTTAAAACCATGATTCTGTTTTATTAAAAGTTAATTATTGAATTACATTATATAAAAATAAAATTTTATTAAAGGTTTTTAATGAAATTGTACTGTATATGTGTTGAGACGATCCCATGTACCAGTAAAGGCCCAATTTTGCCATCCATACCATTTATCAGTTTGGAAAAGACCATATCCATTAAAAGTGACTCCTATAAAATAAATTCCATGTAATGTAAATTGGCATTCTTCAAAAAATACATGACTAAATCCTTTACTTTTAAAAGTTTTCTCATAACGCCAAACAATTGCATTTCCATATTTATTACATACTTCAACTTCTGCTGTCATATCAGGAGCCCAATCATAATCATTTAAATTGTTAGTTTGGTTCATCTCAATGGTTATATTAGTATTATTATAAAGCTGTGTATTAATAAATGTACTGGAATTATTTAAGCGAGACTCCAAGCTATAAGCAAGCATGTAATGAAGTAAGAGAAATGCTATGAATTTTAACATTTATGAAATATACACACATCTAGATTTAATTAGATGAGTTTTTATAATGTCCATTTTTGGTTTTTACAGCATATTCATTATATGGACTATCTGCATGATTAACGAGGTCAATGTATGAAGACAAACAACTAGTAGTTATTTTAATTTGTCAGAAAACATGGAAAAAATTATTGCTAAAGTAACTGTTTGTCAACATTCTGGTGGTAGCCTCAAAAACCTCTTGAAGTCCTTGCAATAGTCATATATCATCCAATTGTCTTTGACCCATTGAAGCTTGTGCATGGTATCCTCATCCTTAGCCAAAAACATCGAGCTTTCCCACCACTTTAGAGGCCTCCTTGTCTTAGTGCAAGATCTTGGGGAACTCGACGACCACTTGCAAGCATCGATCCCAAACCCCCGAAAAGATGCCACAAACGGGGATTTGTTCCACTTGATCTTCTCTAATCCTCCACGAGTCGCCCAATCGTCCCCATTCCACAGGCTGGCGTAAACGCCCATTGGTTTCGTGAGTGGAAATGGAACGCCAAGCTCCGCCATCTTGTTGGCAAACACGCGGATTGGCACGTCGTCCACGTAGAGTCTTGTTGTCATGGCGAGAAAAAATAAATAAATTTTTTGAAAAGAATCTTGGGCTTCTAGACTTACATAATTTGCCGACGGTTCCACAGGATTGAGTACGTATGAAAGTCGGCAGTTGGATCAAACCAGAGATAGATCTGCTGCTCTCGATCACCTGTTCCGTTTGCAAAGATGTTGGTGTGGACAATGTAAGGTTGGCCGCTGGTGTTTCCCAAGAACTCAAAGTCAATCTCATCGTGGTCTTTGGATGGCATCTGTGAAGACATCTAAGAAAGTAAAGGAGCAAAATTCAACGAGGTTATCTCAGGATAGAATGGAGAATAAGTTTTCTTACATAGAACGTTGTCACCGTCCCGGCGGATTCATTGGCGACAAGCTTGATTCTCATGCTCACATACCCAAAGAGATACTTGTTTTTGGAAGCAAATCCCGAGCCTCCTGTATGGAAGATTCATATTTCTCTTACATTTGGAAGAAGAAAATGATTTGCTAACCCGTGTTGTTGGTGAGAAGGAGCTGGAGCTGTGATCCTCGATTCATCAGCCTGGTGTTGCTACTCCCCCAGCTGACCTGATAATTCTTGGCAAACTTGGAGTCGGACAACCTCCTGGGCGTTTGTTGGGCCGACACCAATGATCCCGCGATCATCATCATCAAAGTTGTCATGGGCAATAAAACTTCGCGTGGATCCATGGAGAGGTTTCATACAGGACGATCCTCCAAATCCTCTCCCACCCCAATTGGATTAACACTGGATCAAGCCTATAAGTTCTCGCGATCGAGATATTCGTCGTCTAACTGGCAAACTGATCGTGCCATGAGTAGCCATACCTACCAAAAAGAAGAAAATGTCGGTGAATCGTGATGGACTGCGCCTTGGCGCGAATTCGCAGAATATCCGAGCGTTTAAGCCTGCGTGGCGAGACATGTACAACCTTGACGAAACGGTCAACCACGTGAAAATATCGAGATTCGATTATTTTAATATTGGACTGTTCGATCAAGATTTTATGTAGAAGCTTTTTTCTCCTTTCTGGACTTGATTATGCATATGAATCATTAGTTAAAAAGTTCTACGACGAGACGAAGCTGTGAGTCTCTTTGGAAGAGACAAAAGCATGAAATAACCCCACGGGGGCATTGCGTCCTTTCTTGTCAATGGGCCAATAACGCACAATGGGCGGATCACCCAATATGTCACAAGCACAACAACACAAAGAAAAGAAAAGGAAAAAAAAAAGAAAAAAAGAGAAAAGAAAAAAAGAAAACATATTACGTAAAGGGCACGAGGTCAATGTGGTGAAATATAAAGAGGAACTATTGAAGAGCTTTACAAGTTGAATTGCACTTGTCTTTTCTCTCACTTGATAACGATGGCTGCTCTTGTATATAGATGACAAGATAGATATCCCAGCCATGTAGAGATATAGAGAAATGTTGATTTGAAGATTATGGCTAGTCAAGAATTGGGAGACCAAAGGAATAGCCACGAATCCATGGATGGCCACCTTCTTCATCATGGCGTGCTCAGGTGCTACTTACAACTTTGAAAACCACACTGGACTTCAAACCTATCTACGGTGGGATTTTCTCTATCACTGGTTCATGGGTTGTGCTCATGTGTCCTCAATTACTTCGGCTATCTCATGATCTGGCTTGCGATGGAGCACAAGAACCTTACAACTTCCACGAGAACGTGATGTGTGGGAGGAGGATGCCGATCCAAAGCTCCACGGTCCTGGGCAGCGCCGCGAGAGTACATAAGCTGGGATGGCATCCACCACCGAAGCGTTCAATCGCTACACAGTTGAAACTTTCAAACTCAGTTGAAATTGATCGACAATTTGAAGAGAATGATTTACTACCAGCTTTGTGTTGCTGATGTGATAATTCTTGGCAAACTTGGCGGACAACTTCCTAAACAGACGATCCAGCGATGATCATCATCCAAGTTGCTAGGAGCAATAAAACTCCGCGGAGAACCATGGAAAGGTTTCATACAAGACAAAGCCCTTGATCGTTCCGATCCAATTCTCTCAACTCATTTGGATTGACGCTAGATCAAGAAGTTCTTGCGATCGAGATATTCGTTCGTCGAACTGGCAAACCCGCGGCTTTGATGGTGCCATGAATACAAAAAGAAGAAGATGTCGGTGAATCGTCGGATCGATTGTGACTTGGTGCGGGGGATTTTGAAAAGGGAAACTGAGGATTCATGGAGAACCTTGATCGATATGGTCAACCATGTGAAAATCTCGCGATTCGATGATTTTAATATCGGATTGGTCGGTCAAGGTTTCATGTACACATTCTGGAATCTCAAAATGTATCAAGCACGCAAGAACGAGAGTTGTGCAGAATGATCTCTCTTGGAAGAGACAAAAGCATGAAATAACTCTGGGACATATCTGTCGCGTCTATTTTTGTCTTTTCTTTTTTCTTCTCGATGCCCACAATGGGTGATGGAGCACCCAACATGTCACAAGCACACTCATCAATCAATCAAAAAAAAAAAAAAAAAAAACGGAAGAGAAAGAAGAAATAAAAAAAACAATAATCTTGTGCTTAATGTCATAAACATGCACGTGGTTTCTAACCTCTCTACAACTTAAAGAGTATAAAAGAATTCCATGCTTGGGTGAAATATAAAGAAGAGGCATTGAATGAGCTCAGTAAGAAGCTCCTCACAAGCAGAAATAAACTTATCCTTTGGGCGAAGCTCTAGCGATGGCTGTTCTAGCATATAGATAGAAGCATAGATCTTACAAGAGAGCTATAGCTCTCCCAGAATTTGGGAGGAGCTTTGATGTAGAGAGCCTGAAGAGAAGTGTTGATCGCTACTACTTACAAACTATATTATGGCTATGGAGCTCCCAGGAATTGGGAGATTGGCCAAAGGAGTAGCCACGAATCGATGGATGGTCGTGGTTGCCACCTTCTTCATCATGGCGTGCTCGGGCGCCACTTACAACTTTGGAATCTACTCCGACGTCGTGAAAACCAGCATGGGATACAACCAAGAGACTCTCACCACTCTGGGCTTCTTCAAAGATCTGGGAGCAAACGTCGGGATCTTCTCGGGCCTGATCTATGATCTCACTGGCCCATGGGTCGTGCTCATGTGTGGAGCGATCCTCAATCTCTTCGGCTATCTCATGATCTGGCTGGCGGTGGAGCACAAGATCAGTCCCCCCGCGATCTGGAAGATGTGCCTCTTCATCTGCATCGGCGCCAATTCGCAGGCCTTCACCAACACGGGCGTGATCGTGACGAGCGTCAAGAACTTCCCAAACAATCGCGGCCTCGTGATCGGGCTCCTCAAGGGATACGTCGGCCTCAGCGGTGCCATGCTCACTCTCTTCTACCAGGCGCTCTACGGCAATAGCCCGGACAAATTCATCCTCCTGATCGCCTGGTTCCCGTGCTTGATCTGCCTCATGTTTCTCGCGGTGATCCGGAGGATGCCACCCACCGGGCCCGAGCTGGCCGCGTCCGAGAAGAAGATCTTCCAGGCGTTTCTCTTCATCGCGCTCGCCCTGGCGGGGTATTTGATGATCATCATCGTCGTCCAGCACCAGGTCAAAGTTCCCCGAGCTGGATTCCAGGCGCTCGCTGCGATCATGCTCTTGATTGTCATGTCGCCGCTGGCGCTCGTTGTGAGGGATGAGCTCCGGAAGATCGAGCAAGAGAAAAATCAAGAATTGAAAGAAGGGGCTAAAACAGGGGAAGAGGCTGAATCGAATTCCAAGCTCGCATTGGCAGGAAATCCAACTGACATTGGATCGATCCAACCACATGATCAGGATTCAGAGCTGGAAACGAAGAGATTCGCACTGGATTGGAAGAGAACCGAAGGAATTCCTGGCCCAAAACAGGGGATTTTGCAAGAAGGGGCAAAAACAGGGGAGGATGATTGTTCCAATTCCACTCCCAAGGAGCTGGAACTGGCAGCCGGCAAAGAATCCACCCATCCCGAGACTCTCAATCCCGAGCCGCGCAGCAAGAAATTCACGCTGGACTGGAAGAAAATCCGGAGAATTTTGTGGGAGAGGCCTGCCAGAGGCAGCGACTACAACATCCCCGACGCCATCTTCACCATCGACATGTTCTTGATCTTCGTCGCCACCACCTGTGGCGTGGGCGGAGGCCTCATGGCGATCGATAACCTCGGCCAGATCGGCAAGGCCCTGGATCTCAAGGTCGATACATTCGTATCGCTCATCAGCATCTGGAACTTCCTGGGGAGAGTGGGGTCGGGATTCGCGTCGGAGATCGCCCTCCAGCGCTGGGGCGTGCCAAGGACCCTATTCTTCTCGCTCGTCATCGGGGTGGCCGCGATCGGGCACTTGGTCATCGCGCTCAATCTGCCCGGCGCGCTCTTCGCTGGATCCATCCTCATCGGCCTCACGTTTGGCGCGCAGTGGGCGCTCATGTTCACGATCATCTCCGAGATCTTTGGGCTCAAGTACTATGGCACGCTCTACAATGTGGGCGGCATCGCGAGCCCCGTGGGGAGCTATCTCCTCTCCGTGCGCGTTGCCGGGGCGCTCTACGACAAGGAGGCGGCCAAGGATCGAGCAAGGAGCGCTACTGTGGGGAGAATTTTTGGGAGAATTTTGGCCGTCGCCAGTGCTACCGGGAACAATTGCAAGGGCGCCCACTGCTATCGCGTCACATTCTTCATCATGGCCGCAGTAGCAGTTCTTGGCAGCGCTACTGCGCTGATTCTCACTGTCAGGACGCGGCGATTCTACCGCAAGATCCACCTCAAGATGAAAGAAACCACATAAACCCTAAATTTTCGAAAAACTTGTAATAGCAATAGCGGAGAACCCTAAAATCAAAAAGAGATTATAGGGCATTTATTTTCTTCCTTCCGCCATGGCGGCGAGTCTCTTCGGCATGTTCTTGCATCTCGTCGGTAAGCGCCTGATGTCTCTGCTGGATCTCCTCTATCGCGATCGCCGCAGCGTCGCAAATCGCGACTCGGATAATCTCCTTCGTCTTCAATGTTTTGGTCACGCGCCGCCTCTCCCCGGGCGACTATGGAGTAAGAATCGCGATTTCTTGTGGCTTTTTCGTGATATTTTCCTTGTCTGTGTAGTATTCTCTGCAATTCCAGCTCTTGATCACCACGATTTTATTCCTGAGCCGGGAAGGATTCCGGAGAGGTTGTCTTCGAAGCAATAACGAAGGAGAGAATGACAAGGACGGGGGAACCGCGTAAGCTCGAGTTTCTTTTGTTTGTAGCTTGTCTTCTCACTGTGATTGCTTCGACAGTGAATTCGCAAAGGTTGCCAGCGTTGCCTGGCTCACTGTCCCGGCAGGCATTGCGACATCAATCGCTTCATGTGCCATTGTTGTTCTGTGGAAAAGAGTGGAGGTCTCCAGAGCTTACGAAAGAGCTGTCATAATCTACGGTAACCCCGAAAGCATTTTTAATCTTATGCCATCGTTTGTGATTGATCAGGTTGTGCCGCTGTGTTTGAGATCTTGAGCGAGCCATTCTATATAATCGCGCAGAATCTGTGCCTTGTAAGGTTGCGTGTTGTCATTGAGACATCAGCTTCACTCGTTCGGTGCTTTACATCGTATGGTCTGCTCGTCAGAGGAATAGGAAAAGTATGGCCTGCTCTTTGCTCTTGGGATTTCCTTGCTAACAAAAACTCCAGGAGGGAGGACTCGTCTTTGCGTATGGTCAAGTGGCATATGGTTTGTGCCTCTTCCTTGGGTATTGGGGATATTTTCTCGTTTTCCACCAAAGTACCAAGCGACTTCTAAACAGGTTTGCAAGCAGTATAAAGGCTAAACTCTTACTTATGGATGATGTTCATGTCGTGCAGGAGGGTTCTCTGTCATCCTGATAAAAAGCTGCTATCAATGTGTGGACTGTTCACACTTCAATCGATTCAGAAGCTGGTTCTCCAAGAAGGGGAGAAATTTGTCCTGGTTTTCTTCGAAACAACGTATAATCAAGGAGTCTACGGTTTAGTCGAGAACCTTGGTAAGTTTCTGACTCTTTTGAACTCAAACCCTAGACGATTTTCAACGCAGGAAGTTTAGTAGTTCGTACTCTTTTGCAACCTCTCGAGGAAAGCGTTTTCACCATGTTCTCGAAGGCTTTCCAAGGTAAAAGACAATAATGGTATGGGATCTTACATTGTCCTGTTCAGAAAAGTCCACGAAACAACAGCAGAACTTGGAGAACAGCTTTGTACTGGCCACGAAACTCGTCAGCATTTTAGGTAAGCTTCACGTTTTTTAGCTTGTTTTCACCTTTCCAAGGCCTCACGTTCGCGGCGTTCGGTCCGAGCTATTCGTATGTTCTGCTAAAGCTACTGTACGGTGAACGATGGAGCGATGGGGAGGCTCCTATTGCTCTTGGTGTTTACTCCATTTACGTCATGGTTCTCGCGGTAAATGGTACGCTTCTCTTTATTCTTCGGCGCCTCAATCGTGTTAATATGATTCCTGACAGGTGTTACGGAAGCCTTCCTGCACGCTGTTCTCACCAAGGAGCAGCTTGTCTCAGCAAACAGTTGGCTCCTCATGTTTTCTGTCATTCACATCGGTGTCAGCCTTGTTTCCGTCCGAATGTGGGGCTGCATTGGACTAATACTTGCAAGCGCCTTCAGTATCCTTCTTTCACTATCTTGTTTTCTTTCGCTCCTTTACGTGACTTTGCTAGATATGATCCTCCGTATTGTGTACTCGACAGTTCACATTCAACGACTTTTGAAGGTAGAAAAAAGTCGTGAATCATTCAGTGGAGTTTCTTCGTTTTGTCAAACACTCAAGATAGTGACAACTTTTGGCAGGGAGCACTGTGGAGGGCATTGCCCGCAAGACAAGTCTTCCTCGCACTGGCTGGAGGAGCTCTTGTGGCTCGTTTAACTGAGGGTCTGATTCTAGAAAAGAACGAGCGATTCAACAAAACAGTTGGCCTACACGTCGCAGCGGGAGTCTTTTCCGTATCTGTTCTCGCCACTTCAATGTAATGTATATCTTTCCATCTGTAGGTAGTTTTTGTTTTTAAAATGTTGACTCAGACTTGGACTTTGTCTTTGTTCACCAGTTACAAACACGAGTCTTCCGCTATCCAGGAACTTCGAAACAACTTTCTTCCACGCAAGGACCGCAAAGACGAATAAACATTAGGGGGAGGATTCAAACACGCAACCCTTTGAGGTGAAAGTTCGGGCTCCGCCGCGAGGTTTGTTTTTCGTTTATCATCATCAGGGAGAAATTTCAACGAGAAAAAGGTTGAAGCTTCTAACTGTAAAACAGCGGATCATTAAGGAAAAATTCGCTCAGGTAGATACATCACACCGATTACCTTCTTAAGAAACAGTTCAAGGGGAATATGCGGACTATTGCGTATAGAAAGCCGAGAGGAACTCCAAGCTGCGAGCCAAAGCAGCATTTCGGCAACTGTTTGTGAAACAGATCTGAATCTCAAGCCGTAGCAACTCCAGCACATCAGCAGCAATAGCAACAGCAGCAGCAGTAATTCTGGATTTAAGCAGCAGCAGTAAAGTTCCCATGGTTTTGGATCTCTCGAGGAGCAGCAGGGAAGCTTGAAACGAAGTTTGAGACACTACAGCAGGATTCTGGTTCTGGAAGATGAGGTCCGTGGCACTAGCTCTTGGTAACAGCTTGAGGTCCCGATGGATGGTGGTGGTGGCAGGCGTCTTCATCATGTCCGTCTCAGGTTCCATCTACGCGTTTGGAGTTTACTCCGCCGCTCTCAAGCGAGCTCTCAACTATAACCAGAAGACTCTCACCACCATTGGCTTCTTCAAGGACTTCGGCAACATTGGGATCTTTGCTGGGATCATAGCGGACCTCTGCCCGGCCTGGGTGGTGCTCTCCATCGGCGTGGCTTTCAACTCTGTTGGCTATCTCATGATCTGGCTGGCCATGACTCACCGCACCCGGGCTCCGGCTCTCTGGCAAATGTTCGTCTACATCACCATTGGAGGGAACTCCGTGGCCTTCACTCACTCCGGAGCTCTCGTCACTTGCGTCAAGAACTTCCCACTCCACCGGGGGATGATAGTCGGGCTTCTCAAAGGATTCCTGGGCCTCAGCACCGCCATCCTCTCGCTCTTCTACCGGGCCATCTATGGCGACCACCCGAGCTCGTTCGTGCTGCTCATCGTCTATCTCCCGCTCGCAGTGATCCTGAGCTTCATGTTCTTCATCCGCCCCCTCCCAGTCCCCTCGGGCGGAAAGATAGAGGACGAGGCCCGGGTGTTTTACCGGCTGCTGGCCTTCGAGCTCCTGGTGGCCGGATACTTGATGCTGGTGATCCTCGTGCAACACTCAGTGAAGCTTGACAAGGCCGTCAACGGGGGGCTCGCTGGGCTCCTCGCGCTACTCTTGTGTATCCCGTTCGCGATGGTGGTGGCGATGGAGCTGCGGAAGCTCCGAGCCGAGAAGCCTGTGGTAGACGTGGAGTCGAGCAAAGACGAAGGTGGGGACAAGGCTGGTGGTCCGATACTCGACGGTGCATACGGAGGTGGCAGCAAAGACAGGGACAAAGCACTGGCAAAGGTGGAGCCCCGAGAGTCCTCGGAAGAAGACGAGACCGTCACTGTTCCGCTGGAGGCTCCACCGCCAGCGGCAGTGCCAGAGGCAGCGCCAGTACTCCGCCGCCGCAGCATTGTCCAGAGAGCCGGCGAGCTCTTCAAGACGCCACCCATCGGCAGCGACTTCACAGTGTGGCAGGCTCTCGTCCACCTCGACTTTTGGCTGCTGTCCGCGGCGTCCACCGCGGGGCTGGGAGCCGGGCTCATGCTCATCGACAACCTCGGCCAGATTGGAAGCTCCTACGGCTACGACGCCGAGAGAACCAACACCTTCGTGTCCCTCACCAGCATCTGGAACTGCCTGGGCCGAGTTGGATCCGGCTTCGTGTCCGAGTACTTCGTCCAGCGCTATGGCCTCGCCCGGCCCTTCTTCTTCGCGCTCGCGCTGGGACTGTCCGCTATCGGCTACCTCACCATCGCCCTCGATCTTCCTGGAGCTCTCTTCGTCGGCTCCATCCTCATCGGCCTGTGCTTTGGCGCGCAGTGGGCGCTTCTCCACATCATCATCTCGGAGATATACGGGCTCAAGTACTACGGGACGCTGCAAAGCATCATCGCCATGGCCAGTCCGCTGGGGACGTATCTCCTGTCCGTGCGGGTGGCGGGGTATATGTATGATAGGGAGGCCGCGCGGCAGCTGCCGCGCGGTACTGCGGAGTCGTGCCATGGTACCGTGTGCTACCGGACAAGCTTGTTGATTATGTGCGGGGTGTGCTGCGCGGGGTGCTTGTTGACGCTGGTGATAACGCTGAGGACGAGGAGGTTTTACAAGAGGGAGGTTTTCGAGACGCTCAAGGCCAAGAAGATTGAGCTGGTTAATGCCAAAAAAGCATCTAGGTGAGAAATTTGTATAGAATTCACACATTATATAAAAAATACATTAGTTTTAAGACAAAATAATTAGCCAATTATTTTTTTATGGAATTGCCATTTTGCTTGGAATAATACCACATACGAATCCAATCTAAGATTGCCAATAACAAGCAGTTATGTTTAGGTTGCAAATGTTTGGGTGGAAAAAAATGCATCAAGCACGCTGCTTAGTTGCAAAACTCTCAATCTTCAGCAACTACATACACCTCTAAATGTCAATCTAGAGCATTCACAAATATTGCCATATCCTCATTTAGGGGAGTAAAATCTCGCAGCAGCAATAAGTGTTAGATTGAAATTATCAGTGGATTGATAGAGATTATAGCATTGTGTGGTGTGCTAGATAAGTCGGGTTCTACTATCTACTGTCTGCTGCACCAATTCAGCAATAGCATTGCCATGTTAGAGTGCTCAATTAGGGCTTTTGGGTGGCAATCCTAAACAAGCGGTCAATCGTTATTATTTAAAGAAAAATATGTAGGCTCTAGATTGACACTTATGCATGTAGCTGTTGAAGATTATGGAGGTTCATGGCCAACACTCTTTAGCATGGTGTTTGTTTTAGTTGGTTGTCAATAGATAAATCATCTCATCATGGGTTCTTCCCAAATTTAAAAACGAAGAAGAAGATGCTGATGTAGCAAGAAACCCATATGGATTAAGAATTAACACGTGCCATGCATGCCAATATATATATGTTTTGAAAAAAAGTTCTATCAAAAAGATTGTTTTGTGAGTCAAAGAATATGTCTATAACAAATTCAAGCAACACATGTGATTGCACATGCCTATATTATATGTGTATGTATACATTATCTACTTTAAAACATGTAGATAAGTTGTATGTAAAAATATTAACTTTTTGATTGCTATATAAGCAATTGAAACATAATTGTATGTATAATACTTTTGTGCATAGGGCATGTCATATTATCTTAGACAACATTAAGTCATTGCAAATCTAACAAAGTTCTCTTTTTTTTTTTCTCATTTTTGTATCATTGAGTGTAAATTTATGATCTCCTATTGTGATCATCTCTCTTTTATTATTTTGCTTGGTTATGCCTCATTTATCATAACTTCGAAGTGTATTTTGATTTCTTATGGTTTAGAAGTGTATTTATGATTAAACATGTGTTGCAAATCAATAGCATAAACCTTTCTTTTTTAAGTTTTTGTTTGTTGGCTTGAGTTTAATGGTTGTTACAATGATTATATTGTGGTAAACAAAAAACATTACAATGCAACATTTGCACATAGGTAAGTAGCTAATTTATATCCATTCCTATTTAATGCAAGCACTAATGTGTGTGGTTTCCATTCTAAATTTTTTCTATAGTCAAGGAGTTCAAAGTTTTATACTAATATGAATGATACACACTTGAGTATATGGCTATAGTATAACAATTTGCTAGCTTACTGAGTCAAAAGCTCATATTGTCTTGTTGATATGAACACATTTCTGAGCAAGCCCTCTACTAGTATGCTTTGAATTTTGAAGTGCATATGAAATTATTCACCTATTTCTTTTACAGAGCATAAAAAATTGAGGCATTATTATGCTAGGTGAGGATACTAGGATGGTAGAGTTTGCATGCAGGGATATTATATACCTCCTATGCCTTTGATGGCTTTTTCTTTAATTCAAACCCTGCTAACATGGTAAATAAACTGAGCTGATATATATGACACTGAGGTGTAAAATGGTTTTCATACAAAATGCATAACAACAAAATGACATAAAAAAAAAAAAACATGTCCATGTTAAAACACATAGTCACACCACCATGTTTTTCAAATTGCTTACATTCTGTAGGCCACCCATCCCAACTAGATAACCACATGTAATCACGTTAATAATACTTGAATTTTCTTAATTTACCTTTATGGGATAGAATTCTTGACTAAAATAGAATATTCTAATTTTCCAGAGAAATTTTTGAGAGCATTGTTTCTTCTTATTCATCGTTTAGTTTGACCCGATTTGATCATACCTTTAAGGCCTTCAGTGAGCGACTTGGATTGAAAACTGAATGCCTTGCCTGCCTGGCCAGTTAGATCCACCTAGCATCATTAGTCGTAGGCCCAAGGCTGTCTGGACCTGGAACTATTCCACCACTTGTTCGTTGGATACGGGCGGACGGGGATATGATCCAGCAATAAACCTGGCAAAAGAAAAAGCAAGATTGTCCGGCAGAAGTGCTTGAAGATAACCGATACTGGAAAATCTCATATAGCTCTAGAGAGTGCCGTATCTAAGGACAAAGTTGGAATCAGTGGACAGCAAAGGAGGTAGAGCTCCGTGATCAATGAGCCATTCATTTCACATTTATACATTGTTTTCATATATTTGCTTCTTATCATATATTATTATTTCATTCATATGTAAACAGTATATGAATTGGGCCATGAATGAGGCCAATATAATCTTATTATATAGACAGTAATCTTACAAGTAACTATTAATCAGTTAGATTGTGTAAAATTATTTTAAAACCAGAAACATTTCTCAAAAGAAAATGAAACGAGAAAAAGATGGCGAAACCTAAAACCTCAGACATGTGACAGAATGCACATTCCCCCCCAATTGCACGCCGTACCATTCATCGGAATGCTTACAAGTTGTTGCAAAAGGTTTGTCCTGGATGTGAGGACTTTGCCATATTCGTGTTCCTCTCGAAACAGTTTCTTCACATGCGGCAAGCTAGTATCAAAGAATATGCTTAAACATTTGAGACATTTTTTAGAAACTATTTTTATTTGACAGCGAAGCCCAGCGAGGCAAACCAGTGCCGTACATAAAATATCTTAAATTATCTTTTAAAATATTCTAAAATCCATTTTTCTTCGTCGTTCTTTCGATGGTCATCGTCGTGCGCTGGTCCCATATGCAATCTCAAGCTTCCTTGTTTCTTCTTATTCGTCGTGTAGTTGAATCGATCATATACTTTTAGTACCTGACTTGGATTGGAAACCGAATTGCTCACCTAGCATCATCAATGACCGGCCCAAGCGCAACCAACACCACCACCAGGAAGTGGACCACGCTCTTTAAAATCTCTCAGAGAACTACTCCAGCTAGCTGCCTCTCGACCTGTTCATTGGATACTGGCGGACGGGGATATGATCCAGCAATAAAACCTGGCAAAAGAGAACATTGTCAGGCAAAAGTTCTTGAAAAGTGGAGAGAGCAAGTACCTGTGTATGAATGCGGGTAGCCCGGTTGGTATATCGCGCGTAAATCTGGAGAGGCTTGCGGCGGCTGTTGCTGCTGCTTCCGTTGATGCTGAGAGCTGAGCGGCTGATTTAATCGGCTAGGGGGCGAAGGGAAGGGAACGCGATGCGATGATGAGGCGTGATGCGTCTCATCAAACGAGCCATGCAGCATTGACTTACCGCCGGCGGCTTGAGAAGAATGCAGTGGCTCGCTTAGCCTGCGATTGGAAAGAGAATGTAGTGTCAGTGACGTGGTTATGCGTGAGATAAAACAACTAGACTGTACCTTGAAGCCTTACCATGGTAAGGACCAGGGACTCCGTGTCCAGGCATTAGCCTGTTTGTCCCTCCAGCCGGAAGCTGCCTATGGCCGCTGTCATCTTCTAGCAAGTCTATACTGCAGAGACCAAAACCAAAATATCACGTAAGAATCCAGGCGTAAATCTTTCTAACCTGTCGTTTGGAAACCAGTCACCAGCGTCTTGATGAGACTCCGCGGCTTCGACTATAGTCTCCGATGTTGAGAGGTAAGATGCCAATGAACCAGCTTTGTAGCTGCTCGACTTCATTGCTGGTCTCAAGTGGGACTGTCCATAAGGTCGTGAGTAACTCCCCGATGGTCCAGCCTCGAGGTGGCTACCTGCTTCAAACGAACCATTCGCTGGCATATGCTGCCAGGAACCGTCGTATCCAGGACTTTGGTTCATTGGAGCATATAAACCTCTCCGTTGCTTATAATGACTCACGGAAGCCGCTTTCCCGTAACGTGCTGGAGATGGAGGCCCGCATCTTCCAGGTGAGGAGCCTGGAGAAGGAAACTGCGAGCTCGGTGGGGTGAACTGCGACGGACTCCCTCCGAGCGACATAGGCGTGAAGACACTGCTAGAAGGGCTTCTCCCAAGTTGTCCATAACCAGCTGGTATAGGAGGATGCAACCTTCGCCATTGTTCGTATCCTATTTGAGGTGGCGTCGGGTAATTGCAATACATATTGCTGGCTTCAGTGTAGCTTCCTGCGTAGCTGCCACCCATACCATATCCATCACAGCTTCCGTAGCTACCGCAGCTACCGTAGCTGCTAGCAAAAGAAAATTGTCCTCCGTAATACTGAGGGCTGCTATACTGTGGCAGGGGGACGGGAATATGCGAGACCTGAAGAACCAGAGCGTTAAGTAAAAAAAGACAAATCACGTGTGCACAAACCTGAGGGGAGAGCCCCGCACCGAACCAATGGCCTGCTCCAGGATTATGCTCCACAGTCATTGGATGACCAACAGGCTGCAGAAAAAAACGATCAGACTCGACACAAGGAAAACCATAGCAATTACAGTTCGAGGCGTCTCAGGAAGTGGTTCAAAAGGGCCGGTGAAAGGTTGTTCGGTGACAAAGGGATGTTGTGCCGCCTGAAATGCAACGTGGCTGATGTTATTGGAAAGGTAGACAAAAATAAAAAACAGGAGACAAACCTGGTGAGGCGTCCAACGGCTCTTCGGGTCGAAGCGCACAAGACCCCGTAAAAAGTCCAAGAAGCTTAATCGTCTCTGGCGTTCTGAATCGAACATGCAGTATTACATCATCCAGCTTAACGAAATCTTCAGACAGTTACCAGCTTCCTGCTCCTCGGCCGACAGTGAACTTTTGTACGGATACTTCGAAATAATGTCTTCCAGCTTCGTATGTCTAAAATAGCTTTTCCCAACTAGAGGTTCCTTTGCTTCCCTCTGCAGTGCGCATAATGACGTGAACTCACAATAACAAGATGGATTGCAAAACTTACAGCTTTAACTTCGCTTACTGTAAGAAACTGATACACAGCCATACCACCGCTTGAAGGAGGAGCAGCAGACACAGTTTTAAAATACTTGCTCGTGTTTGCGGAATCCCGTAGAAGCTGATCCGGCGGTTGACACCTGAACAAGAAAAGAATTATTTTTGAAAATCAAACCGTCAAACATACCCCAGTGTATCAATCATGCGTCGGAGTAAATCATACTCTGATTCACCCGAAAACAAAGGTAGGCCAAGGAAAAGCTCAGCTGCCACGCATCCAAGCGACCACATGTCGATTGCGGTGGTATATGGATGACCAAGAACAACTTCTGGAGACCGGTAGTATCGACTCTACAAAAGTCAATAGAACTGTTCTTCATGCGTTCTCGGCATTGGAGATGATTACCTGTATGTATTTGTATACGGTACGGTGCTCTAAGCACGCAGAGCCAAAATCAATAAGCTTGATTTCACCCGACTTGAGACTAGAAGAAGAAATCACTGTCAGCCCAGAAATTGAGCGACACCTCATATGTCACCTGGTGGAAAGCAGAATGTTTTCCGGCTTCAAATCGCAATGAATTACACCTGCGTTCCGAAGAACACCCAAGGAGTCAAGAATCTGAAAGAAAAGGCTCTTTATATCGTAAGTTTTCGTATGAACACCAGTACCTGTTTTGTGAAGATCCGAAGCAGATGCAACGAAATCCCCCTGTGACGGTTGACTTTGATAAGCTCGTATCTAAAAGGCAAAGATCGAGCGAGTCACGAAACGGAAAAAAAAAAGAGGAGAGGGGCAAATGGCATACAGGTTGTGGGAGAGCAGCTCGAAAGCAATACAAAGGTGTTGCTCGAACAGAAACCAGTCCAAAATGCGTACAATATGGTGTTGATTGTCTGGATCGAAGTCCCGATTGAGCTGGTGAAGATCTCTACATTAGGTGGCATTCTATGTACGCAAAAAAGGATCTTACCATTTTCAATATCTCAATCTCCACCAGAGCCTGTTGATAGTAGGCAGGTTGGTTCTTGATCACTTTCACGGCAACGTAGCCATTCTCGCGATCGGACCAGCATTTTACAACCTGACCAAATGTCCCTTGGCCAAGCATTTCCTTGACAACATATCTGCCAAAACAGGCTCAGCTCGCGCTCAAACTCCAATTCCACAAACCTGTGCTTGGGGTTGTAAATGATCCCATTCACTGCGAGAATGAGATCTGAGTTCTTATTGTCCAAACCATTGTTAGACACTCCAGCGGATGGGTTCGTCAAGTACCTCTTTGGATTAAACGTATCCGAGTACGTGAAAGAGGGATTGCAGGAGCGATAAGTTTCGACTATAAATTTTGTAAGCCTAACACATATCTGCGACAAGCACGGAGAAACGTGTAAATTCTCGTGTGTTACGTGAGCAAAGTACCAAAAAATCCACAGAACAACGTACCCGTGGAGGAGCTATGGCGCGGAAGCTCGTCTCTGGCGAGCTCCGCATGGAATTATAAGGCTGGAAGCCAAGAACCCTGGGCCGCCAGCTCGAAGGCTTGATGCCGGCGCCCGGAATCCCATCCGGACCTTCAGAAGACATCCAAGCTCCCGGGTTCTTCTCCCCGACCATGCCTCAAATACCGAAATTCCTGCCGTGATCCTCCAGGAGCCTCATTTTGCCCAGCCGATCCTTCCACAGCAGCCTGCCCTGCTCGATCGTCACGGCCACGCAGCGCAATCCCCCCAAAACCCTAGGCGCTCCCCCCATATTTCCTCAAACCCTGAGCATGGCGCTGCGGCAAAATCCCTCTCATCCCAGCGTCGCGGGCCTCACCCTAGCGCGATCGATCCAGCCGCCGCCGCCGCTGCCGCCACTCCAGCTCGCCGCAGCTCCGGCCGCCATAGCTCCTCCACGCATCCCATTGACATTGCTTCTCGACATCATCTTTGTATTTTGTTTTTTTATCCCAGGGCTAAATGAGGACGCAAAACCCGCTTGTGAACTGCCACGCCGGACGCCACGCCACCCAAAGCATCTAGACACGTCGCCGGATTGTGCGGCCGCGCCGGCGCCACGTCACACACAGAGCATATTCCACGAACAATCCGCCAAACTTTAAAATCCCGCGAACTCTCACGCTCTCTGTTCCTTCAAGTGTTTCTCTCAACCTAGTCAAACAAAACCTTCTTTAATCGCTTCACTGCATCGAGGGCCGTCCTGTTTGTAGGCTCCAAGACGAGAGCTTGCCGAAAATCTATCAAGAAAAACCATAGTAAATGGAAGCATGAGCACCGACGAGCTAAAAAAATCGCGGGAAAACAAAGATACCGTCGTGCGCTTCGTGGTAAGAGCCCAGAGCTTCCCTTGCAGTGCCTCTTCTAAGATACGCTTTAACATTCTGTAACACACGTACACGCAAATGCCATGAGTGCTTATAGATAAGAACACACAAACTTTGACAAATGCGTACCTTCTTGTCCAGATCAATGGCCTTGCTGCAATCCTCCTCAACTTGTAGGAAGCTGCAGCCAATAAAAAATAAACAGATTACACGTCCTCAGCTTGCCGGCCAAATGTTGAAAAAGAAAAACGTAAAAAAGAGACTTTTTCTCTCTTTTACCTGCACATCGAGAGATGAGCAACAGCCCTGTTGTTGTAGTACGTGCTGTTCAAAGGATCTAAGCGAATAGCTTCCGAGTAATGGCTGACAGCCTTGTGGTAGTCCTTGTTCTTGAAAGCGAGATTTCCCTGCAATGCAACGCAAAGGTCAGTTGAGACTATCTATACTATAGAGAGGTGGCGTACGAAAGTACCTTCTCTTTCGCGGCTTCCGCGGCGTTTGTTTTCGCGTTAACTAGCGGCAGCGCACTGTTTTTGAGGTCCTCTTTCACCATGACATGCAGTGCAAGGACCGCATCAAGTAAAAAGCGATCACCACCTTGTCTTGCCATTACCGAGAATGCAAGAGGCGCATCGTCAAAAGTCCCTACGGGCATCGACACCTAGGAAGGAAAACGAAGTTTAAGTCTGCATAAACGGAGGACCACACAGCCTCACCTGACAGCAGCCGGACATCCCAGCAATCGCAAGCAACGCAAATGCTTTTTCACGATAGTCATCCAGCGCTTTTCCCTTCGTGTTTAGCTTTGGTGGTGGACCAGGAGTTGTGGGAAGCACAAGTAGAACATCGTCCTGCAAAGCCACCTTGGCGTCAACAAATGCGATAAACAACATGATATACTTGCCTTCATAAGCTCGCTCATTGCAGCGAACACTTCAGCCTTCACACTCATAGCAAGAACAATTTCCTCTGCAGTGGTCTTCAATGCGGCTCTTACTCTTTCGAGAATACCAGGTCCCAGATCTGGGTTCACTCCGCTCAGCCAAGCTTCATGATTTGTCTTGAATTCAAACCTGAGATGGCAAGCAATAAATGAAGCAGTTGCAAGAAAACAGTACCTCTGTATCAAACTGAGAGCTTTCGATAATCCTACAAGTGGAGAAGACGCTGTTTCATCGCAAAAGGCCTGCAGGCTGGGTGACTTGCTTAGGAGATATGGGCCAATATCCATGTTAGACATTGTTTTTTCTGCAAAACGCGCCGAAGTCGGTTCTCTAATATGAGTAAACACAACCACTTACTACCAAGCACCCGTTCAAAGCATCGGGCAACGACCGCCTTGGTTCGCTCCGGAGGAGCAGAGCTGAGGCTAAAGCAGTCATCTGCCATGATCACCCTTTGTGGCTGTCTGGGTTCCATGAATGGTTGCTGCAGCAAAGCGTAGCCAACTTGTCGAAGAACATTCGGCTCCTTTGCAAACCATCCTGACATTACAGAATCAAGACATATAACATGAACTTAGAAAAAAAGGCCTACCAACGGTATCAAAGCTCTGAGCCATCGGAATAACTCCAGACGTCGAGATCGTTCCATGCGAAGGTCGGAACCCGATGATGCCACAGAAGGCAGCAGGAACTCTCACACTTCCGCCAGTATCAGTTCCTAGACAAACATACCTGCTTAAGCTAAGACGATTTAAACATCTTTAACTCACCTAGAGCAAAATCAACTAGGCCAGCAGCCACGGCCACAGCAGAACCGCTAGAAGACCCACCCGGGACTCTGTTCGGTGATGCAGGATTGATAGGTGTTCCATAATGCTTGTTCTCGCCATTGATACTGCGAATTGAAACTGTGTAAGCACCTAGTTCTCATGAAAAAGAATCACCTGTAAGCTAGCTCATCCATATGCGTCTTTCCAATGCACGCCGCTCCAGCACGAACAAGGAGCTGAACAACGAAAGCGGTTTGTGTCGCGGGTCCATGGGTCTTGAGCCAGTCGGGGTTTCCAAAACCCGTGATAAACCCCTCGATATCAAAACTGGAAAGAACACACGCACAAGAAAGCTTTGTGAGGAACTAGTTTCGCAGCACAACTAAGAGAAGAACATACATGTCCTTGACGGCGAAAGTGAGCCCGGCGAGCGGCGGCGGAGCTCTGGGAGGCGGCGGGGCTGGCGGCGGATTGAGCTCCAGGTACTGGATGAATGCCCCGTTGCCGGCGCGGACGCCCTTTCGCTGGCGCCGGGAGAAGATGAGCAATCCGGCAATGCCAATTCCCACAAGCACCAGCAGGTTTGTGGAAGTGGACATCGCCCGCGGCGAAAAGGATTTCCAGCTCTCCGCGCTCATACAGGCATGCTTTTCTCGTCAATCGCCAAGAGACCTCCCCTCTCACCTGGAGAATCGTCTTTCCCCTAAAACCCTAGCAATCTCTCACTGCCGCCATACCTAAGAACCAGGAGAGTGAAAATATCTCTCGCCAGACAAATTTCCCTTCATTACATGCCCTATAGAAAAACGGGAAATATTCCTTGATACCCTCAAGAACCCTAAGTCGCTCGCCCGGAGAATATTCTTTGATACCCCTCAAGAGCCCTAACTCTAGAAAACCAAGAAAGACAAATATTTACAGCGTCTCACTTGCGCCGATCGATCGATCGATCGATTCACGATCAGACCTGCGCAGCGGCGGGAGGATTATCAGCCGCGGCATCGCCATCCTCGCTCTTGGTCCCCGTCGGAGCATCGTTGCTCTTGATCAAGCCGCCGCCGCCGCCAGCGCCATCGCTCTCCTCTGGATATCTCACCACCACCACCGGGCAGACGCAGTGCTGGACGCAGTAATCGCTGACGCTGCCCAGCCGCCCCTTCCTGGCGGGCGGCTTGGAAGCCCCAAATCCCCGGCTGCCCAAGATGAGGGCATTCACGCCCAGGCGCTCCACCTCGAGGCACAGCCGCTCCTTCATGTCGTGGTCCTTGACAATGTGGATTTTGTGTGGGAGCTTGGATTCCAGCAGCGGCCGCGCCAGATCCAGGCTCTTGGACGACGTGAATGCGTCGAAATCGTCTTCCATCTTCTGCTGGGATTCCTCGTCGTCGAAGGACACGGCGTGGTCGACCACGCCCCAATCGGCGCCATAGAGAACGCTGGTGGGGCGGACATGAAGGAGGATCACGCTATCGCCCGGGCGGAGATAGTTCTCCACCGCCCACCGCACGGCATACGCACTCTCATCGCTCAAATCCACCGCGATTGCGATCTTCCTCTGCCCGGTGCTCGCCATACTCCCTCCAATCCAACCCTAGCTCTAGAGAATTCCTAGATCTTGCTCACACTTCCATGAATGCCATATCCAAATCCCTAGGTTTAGGGTTCTAGGGAAAGCGCAATATATTTTGCTCGTTTGCTCGGCTATGGCGGAGGAGGGGAGCGGCGGCAGCAGGGGCAGGATGGTCGATTCCGTCGGGAGGCCAATCGCAAAGCCTCGCCCTCACCGCTGCGACGATCGGCTCGAGGACTTCATCAATGTGCGTAAGCTGCTGCCCGCATTCTCGCTTGTCAGGGTTTTCTTCTGCTTCTTCTTTCACGATTTTAGCTCTTCTTTGTTGCATTGTGGTGATCAGTCGCTTTTTGAGGGCTGGAGCTGTGTGCCTGGGCGTGCAAAACTTTGGTGGCGATGCATGCGCTCTGAGCCTGGGTATTTTCTCGATCTCTAGTGCTGTCTTTTTTTCTCTGTTTTTTCTTCTGTGATGAATGTGATAAGCTTGCAGTCAAGAGCCAGATGATCCTTACGTTTACCACGAACCGAAGCAGCGTAAATTTTTTCTTTCTTCATTTTCTTTTGAACCGTCTTGACATTGTTGCTTTCTTCTTATGGTTTTGCAGGTAAATAGTAGATCACAATGTCAGCTTTAGTAGAAGATGACGCAAATGATAGAAGTTTGGCCAACAAAGACGATTCTACGAGCTTGTAGCTACAAGAATCGGCGCTGCATGAGCTCGGTGTCGTTAGTCGCACACCGCAGGTCTCTACTCTTTAGTGGTTTTGGAGAGTTTAGATGTAGTTCCCCAAAATTGTGGTGGCTATCTGCGACGCTTGCTGGTTAGTACATCATTTTTACTTTGACAGGTCATAACCAGTTCTTTATCCAGGGCGTAGCTGCCGGTTTTGTACTTCGTCAGGTGATTCATCGAATGCATTCGTAAGTCCTATTATTTTTTCTTTTTTTTTGTAAGAGAATTTCTTTCACAGAAGATCGACGATTCGAAGCTTGTGAAAGCTATTGTCTACGAGGCTACAAAGGGCTTTTGCAATTCCGCTGGGAGTACAAGAAAGTAAATTGTTCTTTCTTTGTTTTTCTGATCTCTTACTTACTTCCAGGTTTAGCGACTTTCTACGATCGCAGCTTTCAATACATGCTGAGAGAGGAGAAAGAGACTTGAAAAGTTTTGAAGTCATTCAAAATTTGGCCCAAGATGCTCAGTCTTACGGTCAAATGGACTGTGAGCAGAGAATTCAACTCCTTGACAGGGTATTTCACTTGAAAACTATGATGTTTTGAGTGAATGTGAATGTACAGGTCGCGCAGATCCAGGGGTTTTCTTGCGCCAGAGATATTGTTGATCACGAGATTGCAGTGGTCGAAGCTTCTCAAGATCTTACTCATGAGAACTGCGTGAAAAGGGATGAAGGTATTTCATCTTCCCAAGCTTTAACTGAGAACCCTTCGATTGTGTATGGAAGCAGTGAGCCAGTTGATCTTTTTAGCTCAAAAAAGATCGTGGTTCGCCCAGCGAAGCAAAAGCCGGATGTTAACAAAGCTATACAAAGTTCAAGCAAATCACTACTGGATGTCGAGTTACCTCCAAGCAAAGAACAAAGCCAGCCATCGCCATCCCAACGTACTAAGGGCGTGTCCAGTTTGCTATATCAGGCCTCAGAGACCAGAAGTATTGATACAGAGAACGAGAGATGGAAACTGGACACGCTAATAAGCGACATGAAATGCTTCACGCCATATCAACGATCGCAGCTACAAGAAAACGGCTTTTACACGGTAAACGTCGCATTCTCCTCGAAAGTGTCTTACATGTTTTTTTTTAGGCTCGTAGTCTACTCAACCATTTTCCTCGTGCTCATGTGAGCTTTGAAAGCCCCACCGACACTTTGGAGGATGGACAATCTGTGGCATTGTTTGGGACAATTGTTATGACCAGGTAAAACTATTGTGACACGTCTTCAAAAACTTACTACCGGACACATTTCTGCAGGGCCTCGAAAATCAAAGACACTCTGGCTATGCTTGAAGTCATTGTGAACTGTAAGATTGCCCAGGAATGCCTAAGGCCTTGTGATGACGAAGTTGATGAAAATACCGTATTCCTGCACATCAAGAGGTTCTTTCAAGGCCCACGTTTTACATCGAGCTGGTTTTTGAACAAAACGGCCTCGGGTTACCCTGAAGGTTCCAAAGCAGCAGTTAGTGGCAAGGTATTGCATCGCACACTTTGATATTGCTTAACAGTTTCTTCTCACCTTACAGGTGAAAGCGATGAATAGAAAATCTCACTTTTTGCTAAAAGAGTATGCGGTTAAAGTTATTGAGGGCGAGGATTTTGACCAGCTTCGAAACGACGGAGAAGCATATCCTGTGTACTCATCGAAGGGTCTTTTAAATCCGAAGAAGATACAAGCGTTTATACAGAGGTAATTAACGCAAACCAGTGCAGCTGATTTTTGAAAGCTACATAGGTTGCTGAAAGGATTACCGACGGATATAGATCCTCTTCCCACTGAAATGCGAGACAAGTACGATCTTCTGAGTATAGAACAGGTTTTTCTTTATTAACTTTGTTGTTTCTACTTACATGCCTCCATTTCAGGCCTATTCCACCCTTCATCAGCCTACTAATCTCCAAGGGGCAAATGTAGCTAGGCGAAGAATCGTGTTTGACGACTACTTCTATCTTCAGGTCTAGTAAGATTCTAGTGAACCATGAGGCTGATGATCATATATATCTTACAGTTGGCGTTTCTTCTTCAAAGAAACTGCTTGAGAGGAAGTACCGTAAACAATGAGCTGGAAATGGATAAGTGGTCATCTCTAAGTCTGAAAGTCTTGAATGCGCTTCCTTTCAAGTTGACTGCTGGGCAGATCAAGGCTGCCTCTGAGATCATGTGGGATTTGCGTCAGCAAGCTCCAATGAGCCGTCTCTTACAGGTGCATATTTTGTTCCTTGCTTTGGTATGCTTCTGACTTCACGTTCATTGCAGGGAGATGTTGGCTGTGGGAAGACTATAGTGGCATTTCTCGCACTTCTTGACGTGGTCAGTTCAGGATACCAGGTATGTTTCATGAAATTCGTCACCTTTCTATACTAATACCGTATCGCGCAGGCAGCTCTTATGGCACCCACGGATTTTGTAGTCTCGCAACATTACAAACAGTTCCTGTCCTGGCTTGAAGTGCTGGATGAGAAGGATAGACCAAAGATAGCGCTTCTTTCCGGGTCTTTAAGTGCGGGTGAAGCTCGTCTAGTCCGAGAAGTGAGATTTACTCAAAGCGTTTATTTTTCTGCTTATTACATTTCTTTTCCTTCCAGGGTATCGCCAACAGAGAAATCTCTCTAATTCTCGGTACGCACGCTCTTATATCCAATTCGACTAATTTCCCGGCGCTGGGACTGGCTGTTATTGACGAGCAGCATAGGTTTGGTGTTGGACAGAGAGATCGTTTGAAAACGGTACGCATTTTCTTAAATGAAGGCTGATCTTCTGAGATAGCGTTGTTGACAGGCACACGCTTCTGAGGCCGTCGAGCCGGACCTGGACGATGCTGATCTGGAAAGAGCGAGACTGGCGAGCACTACGCATGTTTTGCTCATGTCTGCTACGCCGATTCCTCGTTCACTTGCCTTAACGTGTCATGGAGACATGAGTTTGAGCCAGGTCTGTGCTCGTTTCCTTCTCACGCTTTTGCTTACTTCCATTCGTGTAGATTAATGAGATACCCCCGGGAAGGCAGCCTGTAGACACTTATGTTCTTCCAGATGACGAAGGAGGACGCAGGAGAGCTTACGAGGTAATAGTAGGAGCACTGCGATGAATCTGTCTGACAAGTGTTTTGCAGCTGGTGAGGGCAGAGCTCGAGAATGGAGGCAGGGCCTTTTTCGTTTATCCTCTCATCAACGAATCAAGCTCTTTCGAGCACCAGCGAGCCGCCGTCACCGAGTTCGACAAGGTTGTGAAGGAATTCAAAGACTACAAGTGCGCGCTCGCGCACGGCCGGATGAAGCCAGACCTGCGCAACCAAGAACTGAAACGGTTTCGGGAGGGAGAATGCCAGATCCTGGTGGCGACCAAGGTGGTGGAGGTTGGCATCGACGTTCCAGAGGCGACCGTGATGCTGATAGAGTCGGCAGAGGGCTATGGCCTGGCGCAGCTCCACCAGCTAAGAGGCCGGGTGGGACGAGGGACGAGGAAATCCTTTTGCATACTTCTTACGTGCTGCGATACGGCCGTGGAGCGACTCAAGCTACTTGAGAGCACCACCGATGGGTTCCGGCTGGCGGAAGAGGACTTGAAGATGCGAGGGCCGGGTGATTTGCTCGGGAAAAGGCAGTCAGGAACACACTTGGAGTTCGTGCTGGCTCGCCTGGGCGAAGACAACGATATATTGCTGCAAGCCAGGGCCGCTGCCGAGGTATGTAGTTATGTGCTTTTGAGAGACTCTCCATGCCTTTTTTGCTCGTGGTTGGCAGGAATTACTGGAAACTGATAAGAATCTGGAGAGCCATTCCAAGGTCAAGCATGAGATCAACATCAGGCAGCTGCCCAAGTCTTGGAGCTAGAAAAACGAATCGATTTATATTATATAGAAAACACTTTTGTCCAATAAAGATTACGTTCCATTGTTTGGAGATTAAGCTTTCAGGCTCGTATGTTATACCCTGCAAGGTATCGAGGCATTATTTTCTGATGTCCTACGGTTTTATGTTTCTCGATAATGAGGATATAAAAGAGAAGATGGTAGCTTGTTTTGGTTGGCTTCTCACGTTTCGGTTGAGGTAAAAGAAGCTGCTGCAAAAGTTTCTCAATTCATGAAACGGAGCGTGAGAACAATGCTTTCTAATGTTTTTATTGTTTCAAGAAAAGATATTCCCCAGCGACTGCTTTTATATGTTAGGCATAGAAAAGGGGAAAATCGTCTTTCATCCTACCTACGTGATGCTGAGAGCGTGCGTTGTTCAGAAACCTGTCCCAACAAGGTTCTCATCAACAACGAACCGGGTCGTGGAAGTACCAGGATGAAGGGGTTTTCAATATTTTATGCTACGTTATCTGCTGGTACCTGATCAGGACGACTTGTATGGTCTATCCACTGTCCCTGTAGTAAAAGTTCCTTTCTTTCGCTACAAGGTGGAAGCTCAGGCCCGAGACATATGCACAGGAGCCGGAGATTCCTCACAAACTTGATCGTCAAATGTTTTTCTTGGCTGGCAGAGGCTCACTCTCCAGGGTAACGATTTCCGGGGGCGAAAGAGAGCTTTCCACGAGCTCACTTCCCTCGTCTATCCTCTACTTAGAATTAAGACACTGTAGACTTAGTAGAACCGAGGGAATATTCCATTTGCCGCCACATCAGTATTAAAGCACTAGCGCGTAAAAAACATAAGGAAGTGAAGTGAAGAAGAATAAAGGATGCCTCGACGAAGAATTCCTTGACGAAGTGCTCTAGATCGTGTGAACGAGCAGCTTCGAGTACGAAGGGAAGCAAGGGAGCATCATCAAGCAACCATGGGTATTCCATGTCCCCACTGTGGGCAGCGGTTTTACTCGTTCACACGATCCTAGAGGAATTCTTTGTCAAGGCATCCTTTATTCTTGTTCACTCCACTTCCTTACATACGATGATCGACCGTAGTGCTAGTGGTTGGGTCGTGACCCTAATACTGATGTGGCGGCAAATGGAATATTCCCTCGGTTCTACACTACTCGAGCCCGATGTCCGAACGTAACTTAACGCAACATCAGCTAGGATCGAAGCACTCGTCTGACTTGCTCACATAAATCACTCTGCATTAACTTCCTAAGATTGGAAGATTGAACCTTCTTGTTTTGATTTGATAAAATTCCTTTAATGTTTTGAGCCGCTCGCCAATCGCCCACGTCCGCCCTGAAATGCTGCACAAAAAATCTCGTGTTGATCAAAGGGAATAACCCAACGTTAACATCGCTCTCGTTCTCGTAATTTGTGTAAGGGGATGGAGGAGGAGGATGAGCGCAATGCGGGTGGCGCCGGTGCCAGCCGGATGGTAGCTAGCACAACCGAACGAAGAGGAGCTGGCGGGAGAGGAGGCCCAGGTGATCAGCTCAGGAGGCCAAAGATCGAGCTGATGCCTCCCGATTTCCTCGATTTTTTTCCCATCAGGAACGAGGCGCTGGAGATTACGACGGTTCCAGCGTGCAAACGTTTCTTCATTCCAATGCAACAAGCCACAAATGGGCTTTGGGCGGTACTTCACAAAAACATCTTGTTATATGAGATCTTGCTCCTTTCTCAGTGATAGCGGAGCTGCTTGACAATGCGCTTGACGAGGCACCAAATGGAGCAACGTAAATGTTCTCAAGAATCCGGTTGATGGCTCGCCGATGCTTCTATTTGAAGGTTTGGAAGATTGTGTTTTTTCTTTTCTTTTTTTTGTTTCCTTTCTTGCGAGCAACACTCCATTTATCAATTCAGATAATGGTGGACGAATCACCCAGGATCGTATGCATGTCTTTTGGGTATTCTTCAAAGGATAAAGATGACTGCATGATTGGACAATGTATGTCATGCTCTCTTTCTTGTTTCTTCTTTCTTATTTACTTTGGAAATCTGTTATTAGATGGAAACGGTTTTAAGACGAGCACTACGCGCCTTGGTGCAGATGTCATTGTTTTTTCAAAATCAAAAGCTAAAAGAGGCAAGAGGTATAAGACTTGGTTGTTAGAATTTTGCAAGAGCCTATTTTATGTTACATCTCTTATAGCTTCCTCTGTGATACAATGCAACAAGATGTCATAGTTCCTACGGTACACAACAGAGAAAATTCCATATATTCTATGTATTGTGAATTCACTTTGTTCCTAATTTCTGCTAGATTATGAAGAGCATGGCGGTGAGTTGAGAGAGGTCCAAAGAGGTACACATCAGGATTGGAAATGTCACATGAACACAATCACGAAATGGAGTCCTTATCAATCTGAAGAATCCATTCGCACTCCAGACTAGCAATCTTAAGTTATGTGTCTATATGATTCCAGTTCAAGAAAATCAAAGACCAAGGCACTAGAATTATCATCTACAATCTCTGGGAGGATGAGCAGCAGCGGCTAGAGTTGGACTTTGAATCAGATCCTCTCAAGTATGCTTTGAATTTTTTTCAATGGTTTACTTTGCTCAAGGATATTCAAATTAGGGGTGGCGGAGAACTGCTTATATGGCGGAAAAATATCCCAGTGCAAAACATGTCTTTCTGTACCAATATTCTCTAATGGTGAGAATGAATATTTCCACTTACTGACATTTATTCATTCATTTTAATTTGCAGATATATGCGTCAATTTTGTACCTACATCTGCCAAATAATTTCAAGATCACCCTTTGGAACCAAGAGATTTTACACCATAATACTTTGAATGATTTAACACATATTGAAGAGGTGGTTTACAAGCCAAAGGATGGACAATATGTAAGTGCTTCCTTTTTTTTTGTTCTTTGAAAATTTATGTCTTTTTGGGGTGTAGATGTCTGCAATAGTACACCTTTGGTTTTTGAAGGATGCTATCCAGCACCTAAATGTGCAAGGATTCAATGTTTATCACAAAAATTGGCTTATAAAGGTAGTCAATGGTTCTAAACATTCTTTTTCTCATTTAATCTGTAACAGCGTTTCTGGAGAATATGGAATTCATCAGGCAGCCAAGGACAAGGTGTCATTGGCAAGTTTTACTACTGTCATTTTAGTCTTAGTCTTTTTTACATTCTTTTGCTGGTTTAGGAGATTTGGAAGCAAAATTTTGTAGAACCTGCTCATGATAAACAAGGATTTGAATGGACACCTGTCCTTCAACAACTAGAGCATCGTCTACAACAAATGCAAAGAAAGTTTTGGTTAGTGTTCTCCTTTTCTGCATATTTACTATTGTAATGGTTTTCTACACAGGATAATAACTGTCAAAAAGTGGGATATCTAGGACCACTTGCTACGGCTGCCTCTAGGAAAAGGAAGATGATGCATGAAGTACAGCAACCTCAGAATGCAGAGCGAGGTGATGGCCTGCAAGGTCATCCACTCAACTAAGATGACACTTGGGTGCTGGAGGAGAAGAGGGGAGAAATTCAGTGAGAATGGAAGGATGCTAAAACGTTCTTCTTTTGTTTGAATACACTCTAGATGAGACAAAGATTTGCATTGTGGCACATCTCATTCCACCCTGAGATGGTATTGTCAAATGCATGGCAGAAGGACATACTCAGTCTCAGTAGTTGCCATATAGGATTCATGTTAAAGAAGAGACACCAATTCCATATTAGAATGATGTTTTTCATTCCAGAGAACTATCAAGACTCCAAAAGTCAAGGATCATAAGCTGAGGGACTTAGAGCAAGAGACAGTTATAGTTACCTGGAGAGGCGGGAGGAAGCCGGAAGTGCACAGCTAGAAGGGGTCACTCAAGCCCAGGAGCTGGTACTAGCATATTCCAAGCTTTTTCAACGAGCAACTTCCATCCTTGAACCTGTGACAAATATGCCCCTGAAGCTGAGTTGACGGCTATAGCCATGGTTGGTGTCATGACGCTGTCAGAGCTTGCTCGTCCGAAGCTCAAGCTCGCGGGGCTTCGCATTGATCCGGAATGTCGTTGCATTCCTCCATTCTTGCATTCCTCCAAGAACGAGGAATGCAACGTTGCTTTTCCTTGTTCTTGGAGTTCTAACGTGTTCTTTGATCTCTCTCTCACGCACAGGTCGTCCTACGTCGGCCTCGTCCTTGTCCGACGACGGGCTTGTGGGAGTGGAGCGTCTCGTTTCCGGGTTGCCACCCGGTGCTAGGATCAACTTTGTCAGCTGGTCCTTCGTTTTCTTGAGTGGCTTGTGTGTATCTCCATCCCAGGTCGCCTTCCAGCCTACGTACGTGATATTCTTTTCTAACTCACTCTCGCGTTAGATACCAGTGGCTGGATCCCTCGACTCTGATCGCCTGCGTTGTTACAAGCGCTCGGGGTCCTCCACCCAAGAAACCACTCACCCCACCATGTCCCAAGGTTCTCATGACCGAGGAAAAGCGGGACGTGCAGAACCGAACGTAAGACGTCTTCGATTACTATGCTACCAGCGAGCTCCTTCTCGTGTCCACATCCGGAGATGTCGATCCGCTGGTGCTTGGCGAGGCTGCGGTGTACACTTTCGTGATCCATCTCCTGATGGAAACTACTTGCTGGTGTCGACCATGCACCGGCCTTATTCTTTTTCGGTCCCCTGGGGCCGAGAGGACAGAGGTGTGGACGAGATCAGGACGACTTGTTCTTGCCACTCGCAGAAGATATACCAATAGCTCATGACAGTGTTCGGCAAGGTCGAAGGTCCATCCACTGGTGCTCGGACAAGCCTTCATCCCTGTATTGGTAATAAATGAATGTTTTTTTTTCTGCTCCTCCTGCGTTCGTGCTGGGAGATTGGAACGCTAGAGCATTCCCTTTTTTTTTTCCAAAAGCACAGTGAATTGCCACCACGATCAGTCAGAGAACCTCTTCTTTCTCACATACAGGAACATTTTTCTCTTGCAAAAGTTCTCCAGGAAAGATAAAACACTTGGAGCTTTCTTTTGCCGCTCAGGAGGTAGGAAAATTCGCGGCTGCAGCGGCAGAGGAGGAGCTGTGGTAGAAGTATAGCAAGGTACTATGCTTTCTTCTACAACTATTTGAACTATATTTTCTTCTACAAAGTGATTGAAAGAACTTACTGCAAATGCCAAAGCTGGCATTTTTGTATGCACCATTGTCTACATCCAGTCATTCTCATTGCCATCATCTTCTTCCACTTGTATCCCAGCTTGATTCTTCATTGTGTTCTTCTTCTTTTCTTTGTATTTCCTCAGTACTTCTCGATCGTATCTTGTAGTATATTCTGGGATCTATGCCTCTTAGTGTACCTTTTCCTACAAGGATAAAGCCACCAAACTGCCGCCCTAGCAACAATCCCTTCGCCATGCCGCAAGTTAAAGTGGTCTTCGACTACGACAGACGAAGAGAAACACTCAAAGTCCGCATCTCATCAGGTTCATCGCAAGATCCTCTCACTCGCAGCCAGCTGCGAGAACTCGCATCGGAACTCCAACAGAATGCGTCAGCCTCCTGGACGCTGCTCGGCCAAAAGCCAACCGCCAGCGGAGTCATCCTCAGGTACCAAAAGTCAACCGCCAGCAGAGGCATCCTCACGTATCGCGGGAAAAGTCAACGCCCAGCAAGACGAAGAAAGTCAACCAGGCGCATCTTACCATAGAATCTATCTAGCTACTTGTTGTAGCGAACAAAGAAAAGAACCACTATAATCTTCGTAAACAATTTATATACATAGTATTACAGCCATGATAGAATCGCTGGATTTTTCTTAGAATCTCGCCCAGCATCTGGTACATTCCGCCATGCAATCCCCCTTGCAGTCCACATTGTAGCCCAAAACTTGTGGCTTGCGAAGCACCAGGCTTTTCAGCGTCCTCCCGCTGATCCCCCACGTAACATCCAACACCCCGACGTTGCCCTGGATCTCCTCCTCGAGCTTGCATCCCAGGATCTCGGGGAACTTCTTCATCAAACCCGAGACCTCCGCGTCCGACAGCCCCAGGCTCATGAGATACTCCACTTTCCCGGCCACCTCCTCCACAGCCGGGACGGATTTCTCCTTCCCCTCCCCCCAGTATGGCGATTTGAGGTGCCCCGACGACTTCCCGATCACTCTATCCGCGTCTTCGATCGAGAGGCCCAGCTCCATGAGCTTGCCGCGAGAGGCCTCCCATCTCTCGCGGAGCTCTGGAGGTAACGATCCCTGGAGATGGTCTTGATCTTGATCGCTGCCGCTGGCTTTGATGGTCACTAGTCGTCGTCTTCTTCTCGACGAACTACCTTGGAGTAGAACTCTACCTCTTTCCGGAGCGCCCACGATCCTGGGCTGCGCAATTGTCGATCCAAAACCGTGGTGGAGCTGCAGAGCAAGATCCGTGAGCTCATCCAGGAGAGAAGTAAAGCTTACCGGCAGAGCGCGCAAGAGCTCTCCCATCCCGGCGCACTAAAGCCCTATAGCGGTAAATTAGACCCAAGATCGATCGTTAGAGCTCGAGAAGAAGAAAAGTTTGATCTTACCGTGCGATGCTCCGAAGTAATTGGACTGGCTATGGATGAGCTCCAGCCGCCGCAAGATCAGCCCGGCGGCTCTCCGCGTCTTTGGATCGGCCGTTTGAGCAGCGTAGATGACGTGCATTTGAGCGGATGGGCCATACTGCGCGCAGTAGTCGGGGTGACTGAACAGCCGCTCCACGATGGCCAGCGCGTACCGCTGGGCGTCACGCCCGCCGCTACTCACCGCCGCTATCACGGCGCTCAGCCCCTTGGCTTTGTCGATGGCGTGGCAGCCCTCGACTGTACCAGCCGGATAAGCCTCCGAGGTGCCGTCGGCGGTATCCTCGTCCAGTACGCCCGTCAGCGTCGCCAGTGCCGCCAGTGCCGCTGCGGCGCCGCCGGCGGTATCGGCGGCGTCCGCCTTGACCGCGTCCTTGAGCAGCGCCACCAGCGGCACCACCGCGTCGGCTTCCACGAGGCAGAAGGTGTGCCGCGCGGTACACTCGCCGCCGTGGACCCGGCAGCACCGGCTCGGTCCGCGCGGCGCCAGCCACGGCAGGCACAGGTACACGACGCTCCTGCACGACTCGTCCTGTTTTCGCCGCTTTTGCTTGCTGCGGCTCTCGCTCAAGCTCCAGCTGCTCGACGAGAACTCTGCCAGGCACCGCGCGGCACGCCGCCGCGTGAGCATGCTCCTCCCGGGCTCCAGCAGCTGCACCAGCCGCTCGATCATCCCCGCCTCGGCCAGCTTCTTCTGCGTCTCCACCCCAAGCTTCGCGAACTTTAGAACGATGCCCACCGCCGCCTCGGTCGTCGCAGCGTCCTGGGAGGCGTCCATCACCAGCGCCGCCACTACGTGAAGTAGCCCCTTGTCTCCATCTTGGTGGTGATGATCCAGAGCGCTCCTCACGACTCCATTCCCCTCCATGCTCGCGATGATCCCCAGCATGGACGTTCTCTCCGGGTCCTCGGACAGGTTCTTCACGAGCTCGGCTATGATCCCGGGCTCCTCTCGCATCGCCGCGGACGCTTCCTGGCTGGATTCCTTGCTCAGCAGGCAAAACAGCTCCATTGCGTGCCGCCTTACTTCCACCACCATAGCTGGAGTTTTCGAAGCCGCGCTGCCCGGAGTCGACGTAGCCGGGTTCTTGAGGAGCGGAAGAAGTGTTTGCAGCGCCCTGTGCTCGCAGAGCTTTGCTCTCGTAAAGCCTCCGATGTTCTTCCCGTTGGCCAAGCCGAGGAGAGTGCTCAAGACGTGACTTTGGACGCCAGCAGCCGTGGGCGAGCCCATGAATTGCAAGAACTCGTAGATGTAGATCTCGAGCTGGTTCATTGTGGCTTCGTCTTCGTCGCTCCAGGCATCACCAGCGATCTTAGAGAGATCGGCCAGTATCCGGGCAGCGCCAACTTTTATCTCCTCCACGGACTTGACAGAGGTGAGTTTGTGTTCCATCAGCCTGAAGCCGTGCAAAGTGAGGACTGTCTCGGCGATGCCAGGCACGGATGTGAGGTTTTGGAGAGCACCTAGAGCTGCTTCGTTTTCTTCTCGCCGGAAGCTTTCGATCATTTTCAGCAGCGACACCAGCACGTCCTCCGTTGCAAGTGACGTTTTGCTCGAGTCTGGCAAGTGCATGGCAGCGAGCGCGTTTGCCATGAGAATTCTCGATTCCATGGATCCTGCAAGAGCATTTTCATCAAAGATGTGAAAGAACATCAAAACGAAGTGAATTACCTTCAACGAGCCTGTTTGCCAAAGGCCGCATGAGATTGGCCTCGGCCATTATCACAACATTTTCATCGCTGCTTGGGACATTCTCCAGGATGGCCGTCACGTTCGAGTTCACGTCCTCGTCCTCGCAGCCGAGTAAAGTTACCAGAAACACCACCGCACCTTGTGCGTGGCTGATCAGCTCCGCGGTGCTGGGATTCTCCGACAAGATCTTCATCACCAACACAGCTTCTCCCAAGTCTTCCTTTTGCCGAGTGAGGCTAAAAACCAGCTGCTCAACTATACCGGCCTTCACCATTGATTCCTAAAAGAAGCAAAATGATCAGTAGCTTATAATTGGCAGACTACTTAGAACAAGGAAGAACCAGGCAAAACTGTCGATCAAAATATGCAAAGCCGCTCAAGAGAAAATCCTTGAAAGCACAAGCAAAGAAGTGAAAAGAAAAAGCAAGAGTGAAAGATCACAAGCTGCATGATCATGTCGCAAGCAAAGAAAGTGGAAGTTTGCAAAACGGTGATCATGTGCAAATCTCATTAAAAAAAAGCCTTCACAAGCACAAGCAACGCGATGAGAAAAGCAAAAGCAAGAGTGAAAAATCACAAGCTGTCTCAAAAGGTAGATTTTTCTCGCAAGCAAGGAACGTGAAAGTTGAAAGCTATCTTACCTGGTTTTCCACGTTGTCCCGAGCAAGCACCGCGAGCGCCGCCAGGGCCTCCTTGCGTAGAATCACGGCATCCCGCGCGTCATGCAGAAGCTTCACCATCGGTCCAATCAGCCCAATGGTGCCAACTTTGTATTTGTTGAGCGGCTCCTCCTCACACACCGCGCGGACGTCCCGCATGGTCCGCACGTCTGTGTCGGAACAGCGCGGCTCTCCGAGAAGGCACCGCGCGGCACAGTGGAGCCGGGCCTCGAAGTTCCTCTCCCTCCACTCGGCAATGGACTGCTTTAGCGCGAAGTTGGATTTCATCTGCGTGGTGGGGAGCTCCTCGCCCATCACCGGGCATCGCGTGTTCCCCTCGGCAAACCATCGCTCGATCGCCTCGCGCTCGTACGTCTGCCCCGAGGCGATCTGGACGGGGTCGCGCATCACGTCGCGAGTGATCGGGCAGATGAATGGCTGCAAGGGCAGCATTGGCGCGTCCCTGCCGCTGATCGAGAGCGACGCCATGAGCTGCTTCATCCGCTTGGCCTGTTCTCGCTCGCAATCCTCGTCGCCCTCGATGGCATCCCCCCTGGAAGATCGAAGAGCCCGGTCGAGAACCAGCAAGAACTGCTCCAGATAGAGAGCGTGGACCTTCCCGCCGCGCGCCTCCGCGGCCGATCGCTCGCACCACAGCTTCTCCACCTCGTCGACGAATCCCTGGCTAGTCATCTCCATCCCCACGCCCTCGGCGATCTGCCGCGCCAGCCTCCGGCACAGCGCCGTGTCGATCACGATTGTGTCGAGCATGCCCTCCTCGAGCGAATCGATGAGCGCTTCGTCGTCGCCGGTGGGGCGAAATCCCTCGCTAAGCAGCTCCAACAGCGAGCTATCCACCTTCGCCGTCCCGCCCAGTGCCTCGATTCCCCGCCGCAGCCTCTTCCCCGATTCTTGAAGCTCCGCCATGATCTTGGGGCTACACATGAGGAGATAGAGCGATGATCGGCCCTTGTAACCCTGGAGGAGATTCTCCTCACTGCTCAGCTCCTCCTCGAGCTGCTGTGCCTGGATTTCGCCACTGTCGGCAAGCCGCGACAGGAACAGCGCCAGGCCCTCGAGGCAATCCGCGAGCTGTGCGAATGCCCGCTGCGCTGGATTGGGGCGCTTGCCGGGCGACGGCTGCTGCACGGCAGTGCTGCCGCTGCTGAGATCTCGCGCCGCCACGGCCAGCGCCATGACCCTCTTGCGCATCCCTTCCATCGCGCATCCGCGATTTCCTAGCTAGCCCTAGCTTACGCACAGCTCTCCCACTGCTTGACCTAGGTCCTGTACTTTCACCCAGTGTTCCACTCCAATCAAAACACTTTCGCGCGGGTCAATGCACGGCGAATATTCCAATGGCATAAAAACGATCCGAATATTCTAATGACATAAAGGGTTAGAATATTCTAATCGCTTGAAAGGATCTTTTTGAAACGGAATATACTGAGGAACAATAACGCTTGTCACCGCCAAGTCAGCATCCGTGAAGCCATGGCAGCGCGGGCTCACGAGTGCCCATTCACAGACTCGAAGTGCTCGAGGTATGACGATTGCCTCCAATGTGGATTCCGGAGCTGCGCGAAATCGGGGAGGATTTGCGCTCCGGGCCAGCGCTGCTCGACTTGCTTGTACAAGAAAGCGGTGCTCAGGCTGCAAGACGAGCTTGGCGTGAGCGAGAGCGAGGCGACTGTGGAGGCGCACCAGAGGGGGATCCTGTCTGGGGCCCCGGGCGAGCAGCGATGACGATCATCTGGCCGGGAGGAGCACAGCCGCGAGCGATTCAGCTTTGGATGGAGAATGCCGCCTCGAATCACATAGTTTCTTCTTTGATTCTGTCTAGATTTGATGGCTAGATCGAGATGATCTTCACGTGAATGATCGATCGACCTCATCACCGTGATCCGGCTGAAAGAATTTTGAAATCCTCGAGTAGAGGCAAGAAACAGAGAAGGAGAAGCGGTTATTCTGCGGTGAATGGCTCGTCAAAGCTCGATCTACGTGCGCGAATCGAGAGAGAATGAGCCAAGAACACGAGAGAAAAGAAGGGGGCCTAGGACTAGGGTTAAAGTTTTAGGGTTTTGCGATGACAACGAGCACGCAGCCACAATCGCCGGCGCTTCTTCGTCTCGCTCATGTCGAGCGGGTAAGGCTCAGCAAATCCGTGAGAATGATCTTGTTTCTTTCGTTAGAAAATCGTCCAGGCCGTGGAGTTTGCTGGATCGGTGATGGAGGAGCTCGCCAATGCGGGAGGGCCAAGAATGGAGTTTGCGACCACACAATGCCACGAGTTTATGAAATCTATGAAGGTACTCGGAGTGGTGGTGTATGCCTGGTTTCATTTTTTTTCTCCTCTTTTGTCCAGGACATTCAAACGGTCCTGCACGAAGAGATCAAAAGTATGTGCGAGTACCGCCCTTATGAGAACTGTGACTACATTCCTCGGATGGGTGGAGAAATCAGTCTAAAAAAGATCGACTGCGTTCTGGATGAGCTCCAAAAGCTCGAGGACACGATCAACAATTATCAGAGCTCGGGACCATCCTGACTCCAATGTGGTTTTTCTCCATCTCAAAGGTAAGCTTCTTTCTCTCCTTTGGACTTTGGAGAGTCTCAAGTTTTAGAACAAGGATGAAAGTGATGAAGCATACAGGTACTGCTGATTGGCATTCCTGGAACAAGGTTAGAAACTTTTTGGTATGGTCTTTTGAGGATTGTGCCAAGGATTTTAGCCTGTAGCCACGTGTTGAGCCTGAGTTTCTGATTCCTCTTTCGTTGTTTCTTGCATAGTGTGGCATTCTTTTGTATCTATCTGATGACACACTAGTGCCAGGGGTCAATGAGAGAGACTCCACGCAACCAAAGTTTTCCAAAGTCTTTGCGTGCTATGACAGCTACGACATAGCGACGAGAGAAGATCAATCAAAAATTTTCAGCTGATTTAGACAGGTAGAGTTTTTCTTTCTTTTCTTTTTTCACTTTGGTCGTTTTGTCTTTGTTTTTATCTGTACTCACGAGGAAAAGTATTGTAACGCTTGTCGATAAGCTTCCAAGCTAGGATCATCCTGTTCTCTGTTCCTCGATTGCGAAACTGGATTTTACGTTGCAGGATATGAAGTCAAATGAATTTCAGAATGGAAAATGCTACGAACATGCCAGGTAGTTCCCACTCGTCCTTTTTTTTTGTCCAAACGAACACGACTAAGCTGGATGAATTGCAGACGTCTCAATGCCCGGCTTGAAATACATGAGCTCAATCTCCTCCAAACCTTACCAGGGGCCGAATGGAACCGTTTCGTGGATTGAAGCTACTCAGGAACATCGCCAGGAACAAATGGATGGCCGTGGTAGCAACTTTCTTCATCATGGCTACCGCTGGAGCAACTTACAGCTTTGGGCTCTATTCCCAGAAAATGAAGACTACACTCGGTTACAGCCAGAAAACCATCAGCACGATTGCTCTCTTCAAAGATCTTGGTGCCAAGGTTGGTCTCGTCTCCGGACTGATATATGATGTTACGGGGCCGTGGGTCGTACTGGGAATGGGTGCTGTGCTCAACACTCTCGGCTTCCTCATGATCTGGCTAGCTCTCACTCGAAGGATATCGGCTCCACAGATCTGGCAAATGTGCCTCTACATCTTCCTCGGGACAAACTCTCAGTCGTTCACCAACACCGGAGTGGTGGTCACCTGCGTCAAGAACTTCCCAAACAACAGAGGCTTTCTCATCGGGCTGCTCAAAGGTTTCGTGGGACTGAGTGGAGCGATCCTCACCATGGCATACGAAGCCATCTACGGGACAAAGGATCCAGCAAACTTCGTCCTCCTGCTTACATGGCTTCCTCCCAGCGTCTGCCTCCTCTTTATGTTCTTCGTGAGGAGAACGACACCCAGCGGCGAAGACCAGGCACGGGTCGAGAAGAGAATCGCGTACGTGTTCTTCGTCATTTCCGTGTCGCTGGCGATGTACCTTATGGTGATCATCATCGTCAAGAACCTGGACGGGGTGGTCATTCCTCGCTGGGTGATCCAGCTGCTGGCCGTAGTTATGCTGGTCATCATTCTTTTGCCACTGGGAGTGGTGCTCAAGCAGGAGCTCCAAGGGTGGAAAGGAGGTACAGTCGCTCAAGAACAGCATCCAGATTACGTCCGAACAGATGAACAGCAAGAGCAACAACAGGGCAAAGAACTGGAAGAAGTTCCTGCAAAAGGACTGGAAGGTCCCTCAGAAGTGGAAAATCTAGTCGACAAGAGGAAGAATTGGAGTTTGCGGAGAATTGTTCATGCCATCTTGACCAGGCCTCCCAGGGGTGAAGACTACACCATACCCGAGGGGATTTTCAGCATCGACATGCTTCTCATCTTCGTCTGCACGACCTGTGGCTTTGGAACGGGCTTAGCAGTCTATGACAACCTCGGACAGATTGGTGACTCTCTTCGTTACTCCCACGAACAAGTCGGGACTTTCGTCCAGCTCCTAAGCATCTGGAACTTCCTCGGCCGTGTGACCATCGGCCTCGTCTCGGACATTTTCCTCCAAAAGTTCCAGGTACCTCGTCCGTTCTTCTTCGCTCTGACTCTCGGCCTCTCAGCGCTCGGCCAGCTCTTCCTGGCTCTCAACTTCAAGTCGGCCCTGTTCATGTCCTCGATCCTGATTGGCTTCGGCTACGGAGCCCAGCTTGTGCTCATGTACATCCTCACCTCGGAGTTTTTCGGGCTCAAGTACTACGGGACTCTCTACAACGTTTGCAACATGGCCAGCCCTCTCGGGAGCTACGTGTTCTCGGTGAAGATCGCGGGGGAGCTGTACGACAAGGAGGCTCTCAAGCAGCAAAACTCTGGAGGAGACCACCATGGCCTCCTCTGCTATGGAGCTCGCTGCTACAGGCGCTCCTTCATCATCTCCACCGCTACGTGTGTTTTTGGCGTGCTCGTAGCGCTCGTTCTCACGCTGCGGACTCGGAAGTTTTACAAGGAACTGGCTCTCAAACTCGGGAAAAGAAGATAGTACGTGTACGAAGGAATTCTCCGTATGACTCTGTACGGATGTAACATACGGAAAGCGATATTTTATTTGTCGTACGGCTATATACAAGTGTCAACATGAACAGGGTTCGAATCCGGTGGTGGGAACTAATATTTCTTTCCCTAGATTTTTTAGTGAGAAAGCGCGGGAGCGAGAGCGCGCCTTGGATCTAGGCTAGTGGCGGCGGCAGCGGGATGGAGGAGGAAAGCGAGGTCATGACGATCGAGGAGTTTCTGGAGAACCAGGAAGCGGAGGAAGAGGTATGGCTGTTAGATTGGGGTTTGAGGACTGAAGGAATAGCTCATTCCAGAGCGCCGATCTTGTTTTTGGTGGCGATGAGGGCAAGGAATGCACGTACAACGAGGGATACATGCCTCGGCAGGCCGTGTTCTCGTGCTTGAGTTGCGCGCCCCAGGGGAATGCCGGGATTTGCACGGCTTGTTCTTTGGCTTGTCACGATGGACATGAGGTGAAAATGAAGGATTTATGCGCTTTCTCTTGCTGATCTCCGTTTTTGTTTTTCTGTTCGCTTTCTTCTGGTACTTAGATTGTGGAGCTTTGGACAAAAAGGAACTTTCGATGCGACTGTGGCAACTCCAAGTTCGGTGGGAAAGACTGCAAGCTTTGGAAGGAGAAAGACGCCGAGAACAAAGAGAATGCTTACAACCAGAACTTTGTGGGGCTTTACTGCATTTGCCACCGCCAGCATCCAAACCCCGAGGACGAACACCTCGGTGAAATGCTGCAGTGCTGCATTTGCGAGGACTGGTTTCATGAAGCTCACCTTGGTCTGCTATCCTCGGAGAAGGTCAGCTTTGTGTTTCCTTTTGAAGTCTAAGCTTTCTGGTCCATTTCAATAGGTGCCAAGGGACGAGGATAATGAGCCCTTGTTTGACGAACTGATCTGCCAAAATTGTGTTGGACGGTGTAGTTTTCTCTTTCGGTACCAGGAGCTTCTTATTCCGCCTGGTATACCAGACGAAACCCATCCAGTTGAGCAGTCTGGAACAAGCACGGAGGCTCCTGCCAACGTTGCAGTCGAACAAACAATGGGAAGCAAGGCCGAGAAATCCGATGCTTTAACTTCCGGAAAGAAAGAAGAAGGCTCCGTGAGGAATGGAGTTTCGGATGTGGCTGGCTGCTCTCAATCCAGCAATTCCATTTGCAAGCTCAAGCCAGTCAACGTGAACGAGGAGACTGGAAACTGCTTCGGAAAGGCTCTGTTTTTGGAGAGAAGCTGGAGGACCAGTCTCTGCCAGTGTGATTCCTGCGTGGAGCTGTACAAGACCAGAGGATTGAGCTTTCTTCTGGACAAGCTGGACACACTTCAGTCCTACGAAGCATTGGCGAAGGAGAGGCGAAAGACACGGATGGAACAAGCCGAAGGTGCCAGCATGAAGCTTCTAAATAACTTGGACCACGTCGCGAAGGTGGAGTTCCTTCATGGTCTCAACGACATGACATCTGAGCTGAGCAGCTTCCTTGTAAGTGTTTTTATGCTTCGTTTCTTCTATGATTCATTTTTGCATTCTTGGCAGGGCGATTTCCGCGACACGGGAAAGACTGTGACGAGTGCGGACGTCTACGAGTTCTTCGACCGGCTGAAAAAGAGACGCAAGCTGTAGCTCCTGTCCGAAGTTAAAAACTTGTTTTTTATTTGATAGGTACTTTGGGAAAACCCTAGGAGCGAAGATCGCCCTTGCAAGGTCAGTGAATTCTCACTTCTGACTCGACTGATGACGAGAGTTTCCAGGTTCTCGAAAAGAATGTCGACCACAGTGGCTGGAACAATGAGCATTGTGGAGCACGTCGTCTTCTTCAAAGTGAAGGAAGAGACTCCCGAAGAGAAGAAAGTGGCTATGGTGAGAGAACTCAACGCTCTCAAGTCACTGGAGGGAGTCCTCCATCTCAAAGCCGGGCCAGCTTTGCGACTCTGGCCGTCGCACCACAAACTCAGTGGAGGATTTACCCACGTCCTCCACAGCAGGTACTCGGACAAGGCAGGCTTGTCCGCTTACTCGGCTCATCCTTCTCACGTCAGCGTGGTGGAGAAGTTTGTGAAGCCGATCGCGGAGGACATTCTGGCCATGGACTGGGAAGCTCGGGTCGCTGCTCCTCTAGAGACTGGATTTGGAGCAAAGAGAGTGGTGGCTTGCAAACTTAAGGATGATCCGGAGAAGAACAGGGGGAAGCTTGTGGATCGGCTAACAGGGAAAACTCCAGCAAGCGCAGGTGTTAACTTCTCTCCAGGGCGAGCTAAAGGTTTCAACTTTGGAATTTTGTCACTGGTGGGAAGTGTTGACGAGCTTGAGAACCCGGAGATCCTGGAGGGCAGTCTTGGTAGCAATCCCCAAGTTGAGAGTTTGATCGTCCTGGATTACGCGAGTGGCGACGAGCGAGCTGAGAGCAGCGAGAGCTCAGCGAAAATGTGACAAGAAGACAAGAAGAAGAATCTCTTCAAGTTCAACTTTAAACAGTTGGAAATCTAAGATGATAAATCCCAAAGACATTTCCTTTCTTTTAACGCGTCCTCTACCTAGAAAAGCATCTTCATTGAGAAATCCAGGAGATTTTCAAGGCGATAAGCCGGACAGCATCTAAACATTTTGGCTCTTTACACCACGATAGAGATTCCAGGGAATAATTGTTTTTTCTCATTCTGCAATGGCCATCGATGGACCCATTCATCCTGGCTTAAAATGTGAGAGTTTATTCCAGTGTATCACCATGGGTTGAATGTATACGTAGCCATTCATGGGACATGGCATGGCCTATATAAAGGAAAGATTCTGGACATGTGGACAATCACGCTATATTCCAAAGCTTAGAAGAATTTATTTTTAAGAAATGGCACCAAATCTGCCACGTAGGCCCAAACTATAGCACGGATGAAATTTTTTTCCATTTAAATGCGAGGTTTGAAAGCTATGGTGGCGTCTACGCATCAAGCCCGGAGCTTGTTAAAGCTGGTCCCTTCTTCCATTGCATCCAGGGTTCCCACTTTCAGGGCGGTTATTTTGCTGGCCGTTGCGCTGCCTCTAACCGCGCTCGTCGCCTTCCAGATCGCCGCCTACGCCGTGATGCCGTCGCCGCCGGATCAAGATTTCGCGACGAATTCAGCTGGCGCTGCCAGGCTTCCCATCCAGCGCCGCGATTTTCCCCACAGATTCGTGTTTGGGACCGCCACGGCGTCCTACCAGGTGCGAATCCATCGAGAAATCCGTGATCCAGGGTTTCTTTCTTGATATTTCGATGTGATCTTCCTCTTTTCTCGATGATCTTCGTCTTTCTTCCTCGCATTTTCGTCTAAGCGCGATAGATCTCCAATGCATGCTCGTCAATCTGTCGACTGATGGATCGATCTTGCACAGGTCGAAGGAGCATTCGACGAAGGCGGTCGTGGTCTCAGTATCTGGGATACATTTTGTAAAACTCCAGGTTCTTTAAATTTTATTTTCTTAGCTTCTTCGATCGTGGCATTGTTTCGTCGATCTTAGGCCGAATTCTTGATGCAAGCAATGGAGATCTTGCTGTCGATCAATATCATCGATACAAGGTAAAAATCTAAAACGTTTCTTTCATCAAGTCATGTCTTTCATACAGGAAGACGTCGATAATATGGCTGAAATGGGAGTGGATGCTTACAGGTTTTCGGTTGCCTGGGCACGAATATATCCAGGTACTTGATCACTCTTGCTTAGACCTTCATCTCTCTTCCTGTTCTTGGGGTCCTTACAGATGGTTTGGAGAAGGGTGTAAACAAAGAAGGTGTGGCGTACTATAACAAATTGATTGACTACCTTTTGGAGAAAGGCAAGTGAACCAACAAAAATCCTGTGATGAGCTTCTCTTCTGTCCTGTACAGGGATAAAGCCGTACGTGACTCTGTACCATTGGGACTTGCCTCAAAAATTACATGATTCTTTTGGGGGATGGACGAGCCAAGAAATCGTGTGAGGAAAAACAAAGCAAGCAGCTTTTTGTTCTTTTACGGATTTGTGACGGCGGGATGAATGCAGGAAACACTTTGCGGCGTATGCTGAGACATGCTTCGCGGCATTCGGAGATCGCGTGAAGCACTGGATAACCTTCAACGAGCCTCTTCAGTTTTCTGTGCTGGGATATGGCTTGGGAATCCATGCTCCTGGAAGGTGTTCGGATAGAAGATATTGCAAAGCTGGTGACTCCGCCACTGAACCATACCTCGCAGGCCACAATGTGATACTTTCTCATGCGGCCGCAGTTAAAATCTACAGAGAAAAGTTCAAGGTTTGTTTCTACCGGTCTCATCCGGACGTTACTTTTGTTATGCAGGCTCTTCAAGGTGGCGTCGTGGGGATTACAGTGGACGCTGAATGGGCGGAACCAATGACTGATTCAGTAGATGACAAAGTGGCATCACAAAGACGGCTGGAATTTCAACTAGGCTGGTAATTATCTTCTCCAACAGTTCATGCATTTAGGAACACATTTCTGTGCAGGTTTCTTGATCCTTTCTTCTTTGGAGATTACCCGGCCACAATGCGTGAGTATGTCGGTGACAGGCTTCCAAAGTTCACTCCAGAGGAGCAGAAGTCTGTTCGAGGATCCGTAGAGTTTGTTGGTATCAACCATTATAGCAGCAGGTTCGTGACGCCTGCACTGTACGCAAAGCCTTCAGACAATTACCATCAGGACCAGAGAATTTTGACATCAGGTAGGTACAAAGTCACTTTTTTGTTGTTTTTCTTATTGTTCTGGCTTAATTCTTCCAGCTGTACGAAATGGAGCTGTCATTGGAGATAAGGTTGTTATTTTCTTTATTGATTCTGTGTCTTGTTTGACTTCACGTTTCATACCTTTTCCAGGCGGCCTCTCCTTGGCTCTATATTGTCCCTTGGGGGCTGCACCGAGTTTTGAAGTGGGTTTCAGAGAGATACAATCGACCCCCAATTTACGTCACTGAGAATGGTACACTAGTTATTTAGATCTGAGCTGATGAAACGAAGTTCGGTAATGCAGGCATGGATGAAGAAAACAATTCGACTTTGACCCTTGACGAGCAACTAGATGATTTAAAACGAATCCATTTTTACCAAGATTATCTGACTGCTGTACTGCAAGCAACCAGGTTTGTCTTGGTTTGCAATCGCATGCGTTCTTACTGTCGTCAAACTCCAGAGAAGGCATGGACATTCGGGGCTACTTTGCATGGTCTCTAGTAGACAACTTTGAGTGGGCAATGGGGTACACCAAGCGGTTTGGTCTGTACTACGTCGACTATGAAACACTCAAGCGCTATCCCAAGAGGTCCGCCCATTGGTTCAAGAGGTTCTTGAGCAACTCTATCAAACAGGAAGTCTGACAGGCTTGTTCCTTTGTTTATTTAACCGAGAAATATGACTTGAGGTTTCTACTTCGCTTGTTTCAGAGTTCTTAGACGCCTTCCCCTGTTCAACAATGAAAGTTCAGATCTTATCGCAACGACTTCATAAAGAACTTGCGTACCGTGTAACCTCTTGACGAACCTCGCAAACTCCTGCAAGTTGTGCTCCTCCATAAGCACGGGACTGAGCCTCAAGTACGTGAAGGCCGAGATGTGTCGACCATCTGGATTTTTGGAAGGCTTTGCGTTCTCCAGAATCTTATTATAACCATCTCGGTCGTAGCACGGCAACGCATTCTCGCTTGCAACATAGATACCGGCGTCCCAAGCAGCGTTCAACACCTTCAGAACAATCAAAAAGCAATGAGAACAAAAACGTGAAACAACCAAAAGAACCACGCAAACGAGACAAGTAAACAACGAACTTACCTGCCATACCAGACCCTCGGGATCTGCTAGAGCTTCCGGAAAATCTTCCTCTTGAGCCAAAGTTCGAAGCTCCACGCAGGTGAAGTTAAGAGAAGCATCGTGCTTCGCAAACATCTCGGCGATTTCAACGTAGCCATCGCGATTGCACGGGTTGTAAAAGCCGGCGGCGAGCTCTGCAGCATGGCTAGCGGTCTTGTACCACCAGTGGATTCCAGAAACCTGTTCGGTAAGTTGCCTCGGTAAGTTACTCGTCACAGATTATTTTTTAAATTTCGCTTACTTTGGATGCTATGTGAAAGCCTTCGAAAGCCAGCTTTGCCAGCATAAGAACGCGGTCTCCATGCTCTATCAGCACCTTGGAGTACCACTTCAGGAAGAACCGGCCATAGTAACTATCATAGTCGCCACCATCGCGAAAGAAATCCGTCTCCTGTGGCTTGGAGTTATACTCTCCAGCATTATCGGGGCAGCATCCCCACTCGGTATGGCCTCTTGCCTCGGCTGCTTGCTTCAAGCTCTTTATCAGGTACTTGTCATAGCACTGTGTTTTTTGTTTTCCTTTCAGAAGCTTAGATGAGTTCACTGAGATAATTGACTTGCCTGGAATTCTCCAATGCCAGGATACTCCCAACCGCTTCTCGGAACATACGAAGGATACCGAAGCTCTCCACAGGCACCGAGTCCAACTTCGATCTCAGCAATCACTCCAGACTGGAAGAGATCGTCAAACTCTTGGCGAAAGCTTCTCATGTAGTCAAAGTACACCTACACGGCTGGAAAAGAGTTCATCAGCTTCTCTCGCTCGACCAAAAACGAGGCACGTTGGTAAAGATGGACCTCGAGTCCGGTCCGGCTCTTGAGAACGCGTTCCTTGTCCACTCCCCAGGTAAGACACTCAGGATTCCGGTGTCCATGCTTGTCCGTGAAGAAGATATCCGGGTTCTCCTTCCCAATCTCCAGCACCCACTTTGGAATTGGTATATTCACGTCGTCACCGACGTTTCCTCCACATTGATGGAACGACATCACAACCTGGTGAAACACAAGTAAGCTTTCATCATATATAAGTTGTTCTTACGGTCTTTCATGTTTTCTCAGTACCTGGAGCTTTAAGTCGGATTCCTTGACAATCGTAAAGAGTTCTCTGTAAGCACACCAGTTGTATTTTTGTGGAGTGTCCTCGACGAGTCCCCACCAACAGTCCACCATAACTCCATCGACATTCACGGATTTCAGAGCTTGTAAGTCTCTACGTATACCTTCTGGATTGACAAGTTCGTTGCTCTCGCTTATCAGACCCAGCTAAGAAATGAATCTCGTCAAGGTAAAAACATTGCTCGTCCTTTCATACTTACGGGAAGCATGACATATATAGGAACATATGGAGTTCCTGCGAAATCACGCTCCTCTTTCTCCTTGAAGAGAAAGCAGAAAAATCAAACCAAGGTGAGCAATTGCAATTAGCTTTACCTCTTCCTTGGTCATTTCTTCTACGGCAGCAGCGGTGCTTGAAGTGGATGATCGCGAGACCATTTTATGAGAGGCAAGGTTGGAGACCTTTCTGGCTGTGATCGCTTGGACAAAATGGTTGGATCTTGCTGCTGGAGCTAGCTTGGGATGGCAACGAGGAAGAAGAGCAACTGGGCAGCATAAAAATCGAGTATCCATGGCCGCCTGGGAAAGGAGAGCTTGGCGCATTGGATTTCGCGAGCCAATGCGCTTTGTCGGTG